CTCTACTGCCCTCTGCTGCCCTCTACTGCCCTCTGCTGCCCTCTGCTGCCTTCTACTGCCCTCTCCTGCCCTCTACTGCCCTCTGCTGCCCTCTACTGCCCTCTGCTGCCCTCTGCTGCCCTCTACTGCCCTCTGCTGCCCTCTGCTGCCTTCTACTGCCCTCTGCTGCCCTCTGCTGCCCTCTGCTGCCCTCTACTGCCCTCTGCTGCCCTCTACTGCCCTCTGCTGCCCTCTGCTGCCCTCTACTGCCCTCTGCTGCCCTCTGCTGCCCTCTACTGCCCTCTGCTGCCCTCTACTGCCCTCTGCTGCCCTCTGCTGCCTTCTACTGCCCTCTGCTGCCCTCTGCTGCCCACTGCTGCCCTCTGCTGCCCTCTGCTGCCCTCTACTGCCCTCTGCTGCCCTCTGCTGCCCTCTACTGCCCTCTGCTGCCTTCTACTGCCCTCTGCTGCTCTCTACTGCCTCTGCTGCCCTCTACTGCCCTCTACTGCTCTCTACTGCCCTCTACTGCCCACTGCTGCCCTCTGCTGCCCTCTACTGCCCTCTGCTGCCCTCTACTGCCCTCTGCTGCCCTCTGCTGCCCTCTGCTGCCCTCTACTGCTCTCTACTGCTCTCTACTGCCCTCTACTGCCCTCTGCTGCCCTCTGCTGCCCTCTACTGCCCTCTGCTGCCCTCTACTGCCTCTGCTGCCCTCTACTGCCCTCTACTGCCCTCTGCTGCCCTCTGCTGCCCTCTACTGCCCTCTGCTGCCTTCGACTGCCCTCTGCTGCCCTCTGCTGCCCTCTGCTGCCCTCTGCTGCCCTCTACTCTCTACTGCTCTCTACTGCCCTCTACTGCCCTCTGCTGCCCTCTGCTGCCCTCTACTGCCCTCTGCTGCCCTCTACTGCCCTCTGCTGCCCTCTACTGCCCTCTACTGCCCTCTGCTGCCCTCTGCTGCCCTCTACTGCCCTCTGCTGCCTTCGACTGCCCACTGCTGCCCTCTGCTGCCCTCTGCTGCCCTCTGCTGCCCTCTACTGCCCTCTGCTGCCTTCGACTGCCCACTGCTGCCCTCTGCTGCCCTCTACTGCCCTCTGCTGCCCTCTGCTGCCCTCTACTGCCCTCTACTGCTCTCTACTGCCCTCTACTGCCCACTGCTTCCCTCTGCTGCCCTCTACTGCCCTCTGCTGCCCTCTACTGCCTCTGCTGCCCTCTGCTGCCCTCTACTGCCCTCTGCTGCCCTCTGCTGCCCTCTGCTGCCCTCTACTGCCCTCTGCTGCCCTCTGATGCCCTCTACTGCCCTCTGCTGCCCTCTACTGCCCTCTGCTGCCTTCTACTGCCCTCTGCTGCCCTCTACTGCCCTCTGCTGCCCTCTACTGCCCTCTGCTGCCCTCTGCTGCCCTCTACTGCCCTCTGCTGCCCTCTGCTGCCTTCTACTGCCCTCTACTGCCCTCTGCTGCCCTCTACTGCCCTCTACTGCCCTCTGCTGCCCTCTGCTGCCCTCTACTGCCCTCTGCTGCCCTCTGCTGCCCTCTGCTGCCCTCTGCTGCCCTCTACTGCCCTCTGCTGCCCTCTGCTGCCCTCTACTGCCCTCTGCTGCCCTCTGCTGCCCTCTACTGCCCTCTGCTGCCCTCTGCTGCCCTCTACTGCCCTCTGCTGCCCTCTGCTGCCCTCTGCTGCCCTCTACTGCCCTCTGCTGCCTTCTACTGCCCTCTGCTGCTCTCTACTGCCCTCTGCTGCCTTCTACTGCCCTCTGCTGCTCTCTACTGCCCTCTGCTGCCCTCTACTGCCCTCTACTGCTCTCTACTGCCCTCTACTGCCCTCTGCTGCCCTCTGCTGCCCTCTACTGCCCTCTGCTGCCCTCTATTGCCCTCTGCTGCCCTCTGCTGCCCTCTGCTGCCCTCTACTGCTCTCTACTGCTCTCTACTGCCCTCTACTGCCCTCTGCTGCCCTCTGCTGCCCTCTACTGCCCTCTGCTGCCCTCTACTGCCCTCTGCTGCCCTCTACTGCCCTCTACTGCCCTCTGCTGCCCTCTACTGCCCTCTGCTGCCTTCGACTGCCCACTGCTGCCCTCTGCTCCCTCTGCTGCCCTCTGCTGCCCTCTACTGCCCTCTGCTGCCCTCTGCTGCCCTCTACTGCCCTCTACTGCTCTCTACTGCCCTCTACTGCCCTCTGCTTCCCTCTGCTGCCCTCTACTGCCCTCTGCTGCCCTCTACTGCCCTCTGCTGCCCTCTGCTGCCCTCTACTGCCCTCTGCTGCCCTCTGCTGCCCTCTGCTGCCTCTGCTGCCCTCTACTGCCCTCTGCTGCCCTCTGCTGCCCTCTACTGCCCTCTGCTGCCCTCTACTGCCCTCTGCTGCCTTCTACTGCCCTCTGCTGCCCTCTACTGCCCTCTGCTGCCCTCTACTGCCCTCTGCTGCCCTCTGCTTCCCTCTACTGCCCTCTGCTGCCCTCTGCTGCCTTCTACTGCCCTCTACTGCCCTCTGCTGCCCTCTACTGCCCTCTACTGCCCTCTGCTGCCCTCTGCTGCCCTCTACTGCCCTCTGCTGCCCTCTGCTGCCCTCTGCTGCCCTCTGCTGCCCTCTACTGCCCTCTGCTGCCCTCTGCTGCCCTCTACTGCCCTCTGCTGCCTTCTACTGCCCTCTGCTGCTCTCTACTGCCCTCTGCTGCCTTCTACTGCCCTCTGCTGCTCTCTACTGCCCTCTGCTGCCTTCTACTGCCCTCTGCTGCCCACTGCTGCCCTCTGCTGCCCTCTGCTGCCCTCTACTGCTCTCTACTGCTCTCTACTGCCCTCTGCTGCCCTCTACTGCCCTCTGCTGCTCTCTACCTCCCTCTGCTGCCCTCTGCTGCCCTCTACTGCCCTCTACTGCCCTCTGCTGCCCACTGCTGCCCTCTACTGCCCCCTGCTGCCCACTGCTGCCCTCTGCTGCCTCTGCTGCCCTCTGCTGCCCTCTGCTGCCCTCTACTGCCCTCTACTGCCCTCTGCTGCCCACTGCTGCCCTCTACTGCCCTCTACTGCCCTCTACTGCCCTCTGCTGCCCACTGCTGCCCTCTACTGCCCACTGCTGCCCACTGCTGCCCTCTGCTGCCCTCTGCTGCCCTCTGCTGCCCTCTGCTGCCCTCTACTGCCCTCTACTGCCCTCTGCTGCCCACTGCTGCCCACTGCTGCCCTCTACTGCCCTCTACTGCCCTCTGCTGCCCACTGCTGCCCTCTACTGCCCACTGCTGCCCACTGCTGCCCTCTGCTGCCCTCTGCTGCCCTCCGCTGCCCTCTGCTGCCCTCTACTGCCCTCTACTGCCCTCTGCTGCCCTCTACTGCCCTCTACTGCCCTCTGCTGCCCTCTACTGCCTCTACTGCCCTCTGCTGCCCTCTGCTGCCCTCTACTGCCCTCTGCTTCCCTCTGCTGTCCTCTGCTGCCCACTGCTGCCCTCTACTGCCCTCTGCTTCCCTCTGCTGCCCTCTACTGCCCCCTGCTGCCCTCTACTGCCCTCTGCTGCCCTCTACTGCCCTCTTCTGCCCTCTGCTGCCCTCTACTGCCTTCTACTGCCCTCTGCAGCCCTCTACTGCCCTCTGCTGCCCTCTAGTGCCCTCTGCTGCCCTCTGCTGCCCTCTACTGCCCTCTGCTGCCCTCTGCTGCCCTCTACTGCCCTCTGCTTCCCTCTTCTGTCCTCTACTGCCCACTGCTGCCCTCTACTGCCCTCTGCTGCCCTCTACTGCCCTCTTCTGCCCTCTGCTGCCCTCTACTGCCTTCTACTGCCCTCTAGTGCCCTCTACTGCCCTCTGCTGCCCTCTACTGCCCTCTGCTGCCCTCTACTGCCTTCTACTGCCCTCTACTGCCCTCTACTGCCCCCTGCTGCCCTCTACTGCCCTCTGCTGCCCTCTACTGCCCTCTTCTGCCCTCTGCTGCCCTCTACTGCCCTCTGCTGCCCTCTACTGCCCTCTACTGCCCTCTGCTGCCCTCTACTGCCCTCTGCTTCCCTCTGCTGCCCTCTACTGCCTTCTACTGCCCCCTGCTGCCCACTGCTGCCCTCTACTGCCCCCTGCTGCCCACTGCTGCCCTCTACTGCCCTCTGCTGCCCTCTGCTGCCCTCTACTGCCCTCTTCTGCCCTCTGCTGCCCTCTACTGCCTTCTACTGCCCTCTGCAGCCCTCTACTGCCCTCTGCTGCCCTCTAGTGCCCTCTGCTGCCCTCTGCTGCCCTCTACTGCCCTCTACTGCCCTCTGCTGCCCTCTGCTGCCCTCTACTGCCCTCTGCTGCCCTCTACTGCCCTCTGCTTCCCTCTGCTGCCCTCTACTGCCCCCTGCTGCCCACTGCTGCCCTCTACTGCCCTCTGCTGCCCTCTACTGCCCTCTGCTGCCCTCTAGTGCCCTCTACTGCCCTCTGCTGCCCTCTGCTGCCCTCTACTGCCCTCTACTGCCCTCTGCTGCCCTCTACTGCCCTCTACTGCCCTTTGCTGCCCTCTGCTGCCCTCTACTGCCTTCTACTGCCCTTTGCTGCCCTCTGCTGCCCTCTACTGCCTTCTACTGCCCTTTGCTGCCCTCTGCTGCCCTCTGCTGCCCTCTGCTGCCCTCTGCTGCTTTTTGCACAACACGACAGATTCTGGACAACAAACTGTCAGATTTCCTTTTTAACGCCTGAAAGCAGACGAGTTTTTGTTGTCCATCATTTTGTTCAAACCAATCATCAGTTGTTGAAATAATAATTATGATATTTACTCGCATTAATGTAGTTCAATATTCAACAAGCCGTCACACATCAAGCGGATGAATGGATGAAACTGTTTCTTCTCAGTGACAGAAACCGCTGAGTGCAGGAAGTTATGAACGATTCACTGAAATTATGAACGATTCACTGAACTGTCTCATAATCTCCTGAACTGTTCACCACCTGGTGTGAATCACGTCTTTGGGTTGTGATGAATCTGGAAGCATCACGTAACTTTCCTCCAAATTCATTCTCACTGTATCACACTGAGAATAAAGTCGTACAGAGCCAGCTCCATGGGCAGTGCAAGAAACACAATATGAATACAGTACCATCTTTATTACCAGTTAGGTCCTGGTAATATTCCAGTTCAGCCATCTTACACCTGCTGAGTAGATAAAAGTCTGTTTTCTTTGTTTTGTAAGTTTTGGCAAAGGAAGTGAGACTCGAACTCAAGACGAGTCTGAATCCGATCTGCGGCTCTAACCACTGCGCCACACAAATGTTGGTCTTTGTTCTTGAATTCACGTAAACATCCAGTGTCTGGAGCATCTGCTGCAGCATCTGCAATGTTGTTCATCGTCTTTGCAGAGCTGTGATTAGACAGCAGTATTCTCCTCTGCATGAACTTGTGGCAGCATCACTTCCTCCATGACCTGCTCCTCTGCACCAACGGCCTGGTTTCTGCTGCGGCGAAGGAGCCGCCTGACTGTTTCTCTGAACGCAGCGTCCAGGTGGAAGAAGAGAAGCGGGTCGAGGCAGACGTGGAGCAGGCTCAGGAACAGCGTGGACTCCTTCCCCAGAAACAGCTGCCTCTTGGTCTGGCAGTCCTTGATGACCTCGGCCTGGGCCAGAGTGTACGGCGTCCGCACCACATGGTAGGGAACGAAGCTGAGGGTGTGGCCCAGCGCCATGGCCGTCACACTCAGCACCACCTTCCTGGCGTCCAGCCACAGTTTGGGGTTGCTGTGACTGTGCAGGAGTCTTTTGAGGGCCAAGGCGCTGGAGATGAGCACGGCTGCAGAGGCGTTGAGGAACAGCGCCGTGTTGAGAAACACGGTCAGCGTGTGCCAGTGGAGGCTGATTCTCTCCTTCAAAGATGAACAGCTGAGGTACTTTGTCATCTGAACAGAGAAGCAGAGAAGCAGAAAGTTAGAGGCCATGAAAATCTAAAGGCTCTTTGTGTCCATTCACATCAGCCCTGATTAGTCTGTTTAACTGAACTCTGGTTCACTTGTCTATTAAGTCTGGTTCTTTTTGGGAGGTGTGAATGCAAACTAACACTCCAATGTGAAACAAAAAAGCGAATTCTGGTCCATGTACAAACTTAAATCTTGGGTCAGTTGAAGTGAACTTTGGTTCTTCTGACACCAAGACTGACACCAAGACTGACACCAAGCCCTCCAAGGCCAAGACCAGGAAAACTATCCCATGACTGGTGGAGAGCGTTTGGGTTTAACGCTGTCCGCCAAGTGAGACTCCAGTTGGTGGTGGAGATGCTCTCCTGAATATGCCGGTCCACTGCATTGCTAAAGCAACTATAACTAACTAGAACTTCCTCAGTCCAAACCGTTTTATTGAGCTGCAGTTCCTCTCCCATTGAAAACACCTGGTGTTTCACCTCTCCTATTTGTTTGGTCTGTTGTTATAAGACCAAAGTCAGACTCAGAAAACTTTGCTAGTGTTGCAGGCGACAAGGTCTCAAACAATTTAAACTTAAAACAGACTTCTCTGCAGAAGAAAGACCTCATTTCTATCATCCCACTGGTATCAGCAGAACTTGTGGTACCTTGTTGTCCTTTGTGGGAAGCACCATGTTGGGCACCATGATGAGCAGCAGCAAGATCCAGACCACCATCGACAACAGCCAGGCGAAGCTGGACTCCTGCAGCCGCAGAGAGCGCGCCGTGTGGCGGTCCTGCAACAAAACAGAGTCATGATGCCAGTCACAGACACAGATGGTCCTCACTGAATGTCCTGCTCTACCTTCAGGTAGCGGTCTACGATGATGAAGGCGAGGAAGGCAATGGATGCGTAAAGGCTGATGTATATGATGACGCCGCTGGCCTGGCAGTGGAACACCATGAGCTTCCATGATGCTACCCCAAGGTCCTTAAAGATCTTAAATGGGAGGGCAAAGAGCAGCAGGATGTCGGCCACAAGCAGGTTGACCAGGTAGACGTAGGTGCTTTGCTTCTGCTGAGACACAAGCAAGACATCCAGAATGTCAAACATCAAATTAAGTCACATCAGACCAGAGAGAAAGCCAGGGACCTGTGAAACACTCAGCTACTGCATTCCTCCATAAGCAACCATCGCTTACGTCCAGGTACTCCACTCCGGGGACGTCCACGGTGCTCAAAGCGGACGTCCGCCGGACACAAAGGTACGTCTTTACGATGGCGTACCGTGTCGCACAGTAAACTGCTCTGCGTGAAACAGTGTTCACATCTAACTCTTTCTGTGTGACAGCGAACTGATAAGGTGAGCAAACGGTCACAGGACCGTTCAGCTGGACTACCACTAGAGTGACAATAAGAAACAGAGAAAATGACCTCCATGTGGGAGGTCCAAGACCAGAACCACTACTGACCCTGAAGAAAACCTAGCTGGTCCCACATTTACCAGAAAACATCTTGATGATCATCAAGATGATCATCAACGTTCTGAGGACCTTCCAGGAAGACTTTGGTCTCAGAACCAAAACACAAAATGATCCGTTGTGATTGATAAAATCTGTCAAACTGGTTCCAGTTGGTAATCAGTGTTTAAAGAGACACAGCAGGAATATCACTGAGCGAAATGGAAATCTTGAGATCTGCTGTCCCACCTGAGACCTGCGGCTTTGGATGAATCCCCAGACGGACAGCAGGCTGCCAGGCAGGCCCACGCTGAGGATGAGGATGTAGAGGACGATGAAGGGAGTCATCTGGTCGTTGACGATGCAGTTTTTCTCTGCAGGTCCTCCTGTAGGGGTGATGTTGAGGTGGAGCTCCATCTAGAACACACAGGTTCCTGTTTGCTTCAACACACAAAGAGGAAGAGGAAGCAAAAGTCTTGTGGGTTTGTTGGCTGCTTACATTCGTGATCGTAGGATGATCTTCTGCTCAGATACATGCAGCTTCACTTTCTGCTGGAAGAGAAACATTTACACATTTACAGATGATGAAGATTTAATGATGCCACATCAACGTCCGCTGACTGAATGAAAGCAGCTGGATAACATAGATCTGGGTATAAATCCAGCCTGATGTTGGTTCTGCTGGATCATGGATTGGATCTACAGCAGTGGTTCTGTTGAGGTGACTGATTACGAAGGCGATGAAACTGGTTTCGCTAACAGGAACATTGCAGCCTTCAGATGATGCAAGGACTTCCTGGAACCTGGTTGGTCACGGTTTCCGATGGTTAATGATGTCATCGGCAGTAATGGCCGCCGCCTCTAACAGTTTGTTCCTGAGTGATGGAGGCGTTCTGCTGCCAATGCTCCTCATGGTCATGATCCTCCTGATGGAGATCCATCCTGACATGTTCAGAGCTGCTGACTGAAGAGTTGATCTGAAACAACCTGATGAACTCTGTTCACAGCAGAATCAGCAGCTTGATCATCTCAACCCTCAGGATCCTCCTCAGCTCCACGTTTCCACTTCCTGAAGGTGCATCAGGTCAACATGCTGCAGCTCAATGTTGACCCTGTTCACAGTGTCTGGAGAAAGTCTTCACAACCTGACATGTCTGACCTTTTTTACCTTGACCTTTGCAAATCAATCATTGTCACCAAAACAGTCAATTAGTGCTAATAATGAGTCACCTGAGAGCAGGGCAAGTTGTGCTAACCACAAGTATTTAGCTAGAACTGATGCTAAAGTGCTATGCTAACATGGTATTTAAATTATAAATGAAGGACTGAAACCTTGAGGCATCAGGTTTATTTGCTTTGCATGTTTATGATATTGTGTTTATATTGTCCGTCTAATTTTGTCTGTGTTACTTGTTTGATATAAAGATATTCGGTCAAATAAAAGTTTATTAGTTAAAGAATTTTCAACAGTTGAAAATCAAAACTTCAAACTTTATTCCACTGAAAATTTACAAAACAGCCAAGAAAATTAGAATCGATTTTGAAAAGTTAATTTAAGGGAAACTAAGAGGAGTGGTTTGCTCACCACTGCTGGATCAAGGCTGGACCAGAGTTTGCCCAAAGGCACATGGGAAGACACTGCCTGGTGAAACAAAATGAAGTTCATGTCTGGAGTATCTATTTATCTTACACAACACGTTCTGGTTCTGACTGGTTCATCATGATTGATTGTAAAAGGCAATGAAAAGATAAAACTCTTCATGGTCACTGATGAACATGTGAAAACCAAGCAGATTTCAGATTTCTGCGGCGGGAAGAGGAACCAGAGAGCCGACAGTCTGACAGGATGCAGATGAGCCTCTGTGGTTTCAGACGAGCTTTTCGGCACGTCGAGGTGAAACAGAGCGTCTCCTCCTTACGTTCTGAAAACCCTGAAACACAACAATCATCCACTTTCCACCAGTGACGCGTTCCAGACAGCCGTGGGTTAAAGGTCACCAGCAGCAGAAGGCAGCTGCAAAACACTCATCCTGTCCGATTTCTCATCCCGTCCCACTCGCTCAGACGGACACGCATGACCTTTCAGTGACAGGAAGCGTCGGCTGCTGAGTGTCAGACGGGGAAACTTTGCTAAAAACAAGCGGATGATCTGAGGTGACGAATCAGAAACAGGTTGAGACTCATCAGATCAAAATGACAGTTTTTCTCAGACTGGAAGGAAGAGCAGCAAGTTTTCTGAATCTGAAACTCTCCAGATTAAAAACTCCCTAAAAGAGACGAAATGAGCTTCACAGCTGCAGAGTCTTCAGGTTTAAACCAGCAGCAGTTTTGCTTCAGCCACAGAGCAACACTAAAACTGATCCACAATGACCAAAAACAGAGAAATGAGGACAAAATGGCTGCTGCAGGCGCTTATCTTCATCTCTCTGCACGCTGCTCTGCATGTTCCTTCATCTGGACGTTTTCATGTCTCTGTCTGTACAAACACATCTTCACACATTTCCTAATTTATGCTCAGTTTCCCAGTAACTCATCCTTGACTCCCAGTCAGTGAGCTGAAGTCCAGTTTGATGAAGCATCACCGTTAAACAGTGAACTCCTGACCCGGTTCAGGGATCCGATTGGTTGAATGTTTCTTCTTCCTGGACCTTCCAGGTTCTTCTGCCGTGTTTTTCAGTCAAGGTCCAAAACATTTGCATTTATTTTCATGTGTTAATTAACCTTGAGAAACATGTTAAAATAATCATCAGTGAGACATCTCTCAGAACAAACTGCCCTCCATTACCGTTTTACACTGCAGCCTCGTTTTAACATCCGATCTGTTTCTGATCACAGCGGAGCCAAGTTGGACCTTCTTTACCTGCTGATCCGTACCGTCTCTGGCTCGCAGACCGCGCCTTGGGCCCCTGGGAACGTGGCCCGGTTCTGCTGGGCTCCGCAGGGTTCGGTGCACTGCTGCAGATTGAGCAGATGCTGGAAGGTTTCCTGTATGAGAGAGAGCTGCTGGCGTCAGTGTGACCGCCCACACACACACACACTCACACATACATAGAGACACACACACACACACACACACACACACACACACACACACACACACACACACATAGAGACACACTGTGAGGTTTTTCCTGATGATGAATATTTAGTTTCAGGTTGATTTTGTTGCTTGAATGCGGTGTTTGGAGGATGATGACGTCATATTTATCAGAAAGTGAATAATATGCGTTTCAATGAATGAGCAGGAAATGTGTTGTCCTGTTGTTCCGCTCGTCGCCGCTAGGGGTCCTCGCTGCTTTTCGCTCTTCATCAATAATTCTCTGTTCTTGGATTATTCTGGATTTTCTCATCTTGTTTCATGGCCTGAAATGATGAATGAATGAATCTGAAGTACATCTGACAGAATGTGATCAAAGTTTAACTTTTTTATTAACAATCTAAGAGATAAAAACACAAAAACTTAGACTTTTGAATGAAATCCCAGCAGTTTCCTGATGAACAGACTAAGTATAGATCAATAAAACAAATTGCACACAGATATTTCCAGAAATTAACCCTCTTAGTTACAGAAATCATAGGTTGAAAAAAGCTTTTTATGTTTTCTCAAGTTATCTTTATTTGAGATGAACAATAATCTGATAATCTGACATTTACTTGATGCAGGAGCAGCAGGAAACATTAAAGGTATAAATACTTTTCCCAGCGTTGCGTTCGCTCCTGATTAGTGAACCAATCAGACTTTGACTCATTGTCAAGAACTCTTCACATTTAAAGGAGCCAGGGCAATTAAAACTCTGGATTATTGGGAGATTATTGGGAGATTATTAAAGAGATCAGGAGGTTTGAACTGTTTCAACTGGAGCTTCTTCTCAGGAACTGAAACTCTCTGCAGGAACTAAACAGAACCACATCTGAAGGTTGTAACTGAAGTTCTGGTCCAGTTCCTGTTCAGGACAGAAAATCAGTTTTTGTTGAAGCCACAGATTTTCATGGAAAAACTAGAGAGCTGGAAAAGAACCAGCTGGTTCTGTTTCTCAGCAGAACCTCAGGAAAACGAAGAGCTTAGTAATTCCCAAAGAGATGTTTGCAGATGATCATCTTGTTATGAAAAACTGTTATTTCAGTGGAGAAGCAGCAGCTGTTGGATTCTGGCTCCACCTCCAGAGTCCAACACGTCCTGCAAAGTCCACTCCTTGTTCCTCCAGTCATGATCAGGACGCAGACGGACCAATAAGTCAACAGCTTCTCTCTGTGGCTCAGCTGTTGTGTTTCTGCACATAATTCACATCAACTCGAAGCTACGGTGGCCCTGAGGTGCAAAACACTACAACATTAAGGAAAGCACTACAACATTAACAAAAACACAACATTAAGAAAAACACAACAACATTAATGAAAACACGACAACATTAACGAAAACACAACAACATTAACAAAAACACAACAACATTAAGAAAACACGACAACATTAACGAAAACACAACAACATTAACAAAAACACAACAACATTAATGAAAACACGACAACATTAACGAAAACACAACAACATTAACAAAAACACAACAACATTAAGAAAAACACAACAACATTAACAAAACACAACAACATTAAGAAAAACACAACAACATTAACAAAAACACGACAACATTAACAAAAACACGACAACATTAACAAAAACACAACAACATTAATGAAAACACGACAACATTAACGAAAACACAACAACATTAACAAAAACACTACAACATTAACAAAAACACAACAACATTAACGAAAACACTACAACATTAACAAAAACGACAACATTAACAAAACACGACAACATTAACAAAAACACTACAACATTAAGGAAAACACAACGGAAGAGGTAGGTCCCAGTGGGAGACCTAAGAAGTCGCTGATTGGACGACAGGTCGTTTTACTTTTGAACCGGAAGTTATGCTGGCTTTAACTTGATTGCTGAAAACAAGAATGTTCTCAGTGATCCAAACCTTAGTACTGTTATTCGTAAATATTTTGAGTCAGGACATACTTACGAGGTGATACTGGACATGCTCCAGACCAACCACGAAGTGTCGGTTAGCATGCGTTCAGTAAAGACTCATCTGAAAGTAGCAGGGCTGCATTGAAGAGGCAACTACTCTCCACTTCGTGAAGTGAGACGTGTCATTATGTCCGAGCTTAGAGGACCAGGGCAATTATTTGGCTATCGGACCATGTGGCAAGTTCTCAAACTAAAACACAACCTGCGTGTCAAACGTGATGTTGTAATGAGACTGCTGAGGCAGCTGAATCCTCAAGGCATCGCTCTGAGAACTCGCAGGTTTACAAGACGCACGTATCCCTCCACGGGGCCCAATTACATATAGCGACAAAACTGAAGCCATTCGGCTTGGCCATCTCAGGGTGCATTGATGGTTTTCGAGAAGGATAATGTGATATAAGACAGCTGTGGAAAGATAGTTTAAATCCCAAGGCCACTTACCTTTGAGAAATGAAGAGAACATTTTCCTGGTAAATTAATTGGTTCCCATGTTTTGGAAGGGACACATTATTTCAGGTGGCTAAAATATATGGTTCCCCCTCATATCTCTGGCAAATAAAGAGGAAATGTTTTCAAATAATTTGTTGTTGATGAAGAGATGAATAAGCACAGTTGAAGACTTGTTGGTAAATAGTCCCCATGTTTTGAAGGGGCAACAGATTATTTTAGTCACCTAAAATATATGGCTTTCCCCTCATAACTCTGGCAAACAAGGAGCAAATTCTACCAAAATCACAGGATTTATTGTTGATGATGAGAGGAATAAACAGAGAAAAAAATCTTGCTGGTAAATTAAGTTGTTCCCATATTATGGAGGGGGACCAGATTATAATTTCCTCCATTCTTTCCTACCCTTACCGAACCTTGGGGAATAAAGAACAACTGTTTCCAAATTCTCAAAAATCTTTACATACACACTACGTGTTGGGAAAACTGTGTTTGGTGCCTGACTTATTTCTGCCAGGCTTACGTGAGAAACGTTGGAAAAAGAGCGATTCTCTTGGCGTATAAAATAACAAAAAACAGCATCAGAAGATCTTGTTTATTTATTTATTATACAATTTTTTAAACAACAGCTGCCAATTAAACTCAATGTTACAACCTTCACATGATTATATGAGTTGTTTTACCGAGAAATCGATCAGAAGCGACGTGAAAATGGTCAGATCCGCCTCATTCGTCTCTCTGGCTGTAATGATCGCTCCCGACACAGGGGAACCCAATTTAGCACCTACCCGAACTTTCATTTCTACCTTTTGTTTTAACCCCTTTCTCCCAAGAGAATACTTTGGTCGCTCCTCATTTTTCTATTCAAGGAAGGTGCTGAGGCAGGATGGGACAGTCTGTTGTGCTAGAAGTAAAGCAAAGAAAAAATGTCGCACATCACATTCATGCAAACAGACGATATGTATTACGAACTGAAGTAAAGCTGCCACAAGTATAAATTAAGTGCGAGTTCGCTTCCAAAAAGGCGGCTAGCCTGATCGCAGTGCAGCAGAACCAGAACGACACCAATTATCCTAAAAAAGTAGTGCCTAAAGCTGTAACGTACCTTACGATATATAGCTAATACAATTCTGCTGTATTATAGCGACTTTGTGTACTTTTAATTGCATTTATAATGAACAACTAGATGACAGTGGACACGGTCTGGAGACCACTAGCGTTAGCAAGTTACTACATCCATAAGAAATATGAATCTTCCTTTATACTTTTTAACTTACTTGAACATTGTGGAGTATCCTCCATACAAGTTTCTTGAAGCCTCTTGCCACAATTACTGCAAAAATTTGGTGACGGCTCAACCACCTCCTTTCCACAGTTCGGGCAATACATGGCGAAGTGACTGTATTCCCGCTTCCTTAGGTTTTCAATCAAACGAAGCACTCCAGCATAACTTCCGGTTCAAAAGTAAAACGACCTGTCGTCCAATCAGCGACTTCTTAGGTCTCCCACTGGGACCTACCTCTTCCGTTGTGTTTTCCTTAATGTTGTAGTGCTTTCGTTAATGTTGTTGTGTTTTTGTTAATGTTGTTGTGTTTTTTGTTAATGTTGTTGTGTTTTCGTTAATGTTGTTGTGTTTTTGTTAATGTTGTTGTGTTTTGCACCTCAGGGCCACCGTACGAAGCTAAGCTAACTAGCCTCCACTTGTCTCTGTGTTCACATCGTAGAACGACACTGCTGTCTGAGCTGCTAACTGTGCTAACTATGCTAATGATGCTAACTGTGCTAAATGTGCTAACGGAGCAAACTATGCTAACTGTGCTATCGGTGCTAACTGTGCTAACGGTGCTAACTGTGCTATTGGTGCTAACTGTTCTAACTGTGCTAACTGTGCTATCGGTGCTAACGGTGCTACTGGTGCTAACTGTTCTAATGTTCTAAAGTCCAGGATGGTGTGACGTCTACAAGACGCTGGTTTGCTTGGTGAGCGAGACGACTGACAACCTCCTGAGGTTCCTGAAGGAGCTCATCCATCCGTCGCTGCTCCGCCTGTCGGTGGTGTCCACCTGCGTCGGAGTGTCCGTGTCGTTGAAGACCCGCCTCATGCTCATCTGGGCCCGGAACGCCTTGCAGAAGATGAAGTAGATGAGAGGGTCCAAGCAGACGTTGAGGACCGACACCAGGACGGTCAGCTCCTTCAGGTAGAAGAACCAGCCGCTCCAGGAGCAGACCAGCGTCTTCATGAAGGCGTAGGGAAGGCGGATGAGGTGGTACGGGACAAAGCAGATGCAGAAGACCGTGACCAGAACCAGCATGTTCCGCTGGGACTTGGCGAGCTTCTTGGAGTTGCTGGAAATGGACTGATTGTTCTGCGCCTGCGCCAGCCGGCGGGACGTGCTGTAGTAGAACCAGATGAGGCTGATGAGGACGGCCAGGAAGATGGCGGCGGAGCAGGCGTGGATGACCTTGTAGAGCAGGCTGAGCTGGTCGCTGTGCAGGACGTCACAGCTGACCAGACCGGGCAGATTGTCCCGATGGTTGTGGGTGAGGAGGGACAGGATCACGTAGGTGCTGGTCATGGTCAGGAGGAAACCCCACGTCACCATGGAGATGATGTAAGCGGCTCGGGCCTTTTGGATGAAGTGGTTTCCCAGAGGATGGACGATCTTCATGTACCTGCAGGGAAAAGAGCCGTCACAAAGGAAAAGCTGCAGTTTGGGTGAAAAGCAGGCTGACATGCAGGACGTGACGTTTCCCTCAGCAGGCGATTCAACTGATTGCAGTTAAATGTTGTCTCTGTTTAATGCCGGCACAGAACTTCCTGTTACAGAGAAAAACCAGCTGACAGTTTCATCAGAACAGAAAGTCTGGAGACCGACTCGCCTTCATGTGTCAAAGGTTTGGTTTGAGTTAATTATCCTTAACAATCTGGTTTAAACTACATTTTATCTACAGAAAGTATTCAAAGTGGTTTAACATGAAACCAGCAGATGAAGCAGCAAGAAACATTAAAATGAGACAAAGAAAAGAAAAGAGGTAAGAATTACATCAGTGACAAAAAGAACTAAACTAAGAGTAATTTATATAAAACCCCATTTTTAAGGTTCTTTAGTTTGGAGCAAATGAATTACACTTGTGTTGTAATTCCACTAGGGGGCAGCAGAGTACATGCTGTCTGGACTCGTGGAGCTGCGGTACCGACTAGACGCTCCAGGCAGAACCGTCATTATCGCTCACTTTAGGAAACCTTTACAGCAGCTGGAGGAGGATCAGAGCCACAACCTGTTCAGGTGACAGTCGGAGAAGGCAGATATAAAGCGTCAAAGTTTAACCACAACATCACTGAACGTCCAAAACCGAAACCTCATTACCCAGATCTCCAGGTCCAGCCTGCCAGACCAGACAAACACAGCGACTCACAGCTCCAACAATACAACTCAGTCAAACCAGCAGCTGCCAGTAAAATAAAAGACAGAAACGTTTCAGACTCTGAAACTAAAATATTCCCTAAAGGTTCAAGCAGAAAAAGCTTCAAGATGGAGACAGAAAAGAAAGAAAGTGAAATATGAGCTGAATGTGTCCACAGAAACGCCGCAGGGTTCAGAGCTGGACAGATAAAAATGAGCAGAAACAGATTATTATATTCTAACTCCTGGGATTCAGGAACAGCAGATTCACAGCTGGTGCATTGAGTCTGAGCCGACATCACTTCACACTCTGGACACTAAACTCTCAGGTTCATGGATGAAATGTGAACAAGTCGCCTTGCAGGAGCAACTTCATGTTCCTGGACGGTTCAAACACAAGCAGGACTGAGAATGAGAGGAGAAGAAAAACCTCCAGGAAACTAGAACTAAAAACTCCAATTGATCCGATTTATTCAGTTATTAGTTTAATAGTTTTCTATGGAAACCCAGCAGAGCAAGGAGCTGCTGGCCTGCAGTGCTCAGTCCTCCTGGACCCACCGACCGATGCATCCTCTCATGCTCTCTGCTGGGTCTGGTCCAGCAGAACCAGAACCGGGCTCAGAGCATTTCACTGAGCCCGGTTCTGGTTACTACAGACCAAAACCATTTCAGCTGCCCTGAGTTAGCATGAAGCTCTGTCTGTTCGCTCAACCACATCCTGGAACCGTCTGAGCCGTCAGTGAGTGAATCTCATGTTCTCATGATGGGTCCATTTCAGATGATCTCATTCATCTGATCTGCCGAGAAATGAGACTCTGATCACACAGGTTCATGCAAACAGTGCAAATTTAGCACCAGATGCTCTGATTAGCACCAGAAACAGGAAGTGAACAGGTCAAACCGGCCGTCAGGCTCAGACGTGTCCCGACTCTATTTTAATATTTTCTTGTTGTTTACATGGCAGCGAGCTTGTTGCCCCGGCAACAATCAGATATGGAATGAAAACAAGGAAGTGGATCAGATGGAGCTGTGGGTCTGTTAGCTTCACTGCATGATTCAGTCTGTCAGACCAATGCAGACGATGGCCGGGTCCATTTCAACCAGCCGGGTCCATTTCAACCAGCCGGGTCCATTTCAACCAACCGGGTCCATTTCAACCAGCCGGGTCCATTTCAACCAGCCGGGTCCATTTCAACCAACCGGGTCCATTTCAACCAATCGGGTCCATTTCAACCAGCCGGGTCCATTTCAACCAGCCGGGTCCATTTTAACCAACCGGGTCCATTTCAACCAACCGGGTCCATTTCAACCAACCGGGTCTATTTCAACCAACCGGGTCCATTTCAACCAACCGGGTCCATTTCAACCAACCGGGTCCATTTTAACCAACCGGGTCCATTTCAACCAACCGGGTCCATTTTAACCAACCGGGTCCATTTCAACCAGCCGGGTCCATTTCAACCAACCGGGTCCATTTCAACCAACCGGGTCCATTTCAACCAGCCGGGTCCATTTCAACCAACCGGGTCCATTTCAACCAGCCGGGTCCATTTCAACCAACCGGGTCCATTTCAACCAGCCGGGTCCATTTTAACCAACCGGGTCCATTTTAACCAACCGGGTCCATTTTAACCAACCGGGTCCATTTCAACCAGCCGGGTCCATTTTAACCAATCGGGTCCATTTTAACCAATTGGGTCCATTTCAACCAACCGGGTCCATTTCAACCAGCCGGGTCCATTTCAACCAACCGGGTCCATTTCAACCAACCGGGTCCATTTCAACCAATCGGGTCCATTTGAACCAATCGGGTCCATTTCAACCAACCGGGTCCATTTCAACCAATCGGGTCCATTTTAACCAACCGGGTCCATTTTAACCAATCAGGTCCATTTCAACCAGCCGGGTCCATTTTAACCAATTGGGTCCATTTCAACCAACCGGGTCCATTTCAACCAGCCGGGTCCATTTCAACCAACCGGGTCCATTTCAACCAACCGGGTCCATTTCAACCAATCGGGTCCATTTTAACCAACCGGGTCCATTTTAACCAACCGGGTCCATTTGAACCAATCGGGTCCATTTGAACCAATCGGGTCCATTTTAACCAACAGGGTCCATTTTAACCAGAGGAACAACCTGCCCACATTTTCCTGGGATCCAGATGTTTAAGTCACAGAACCGTTCCAGGTTCTGTCTGCAAAGCGTCTTCATCAGCGGCTCATTGGAGCGTCAGCGTGACGGGATCCACTCTGTGTCACTTCAGGACCAAGCTCCGCCCCTTTTTCCATCTAAAGCTTCATAGAAAATATAAAACTTTTCACTGTACGATTATGTAAGCAGCAATTAACTTTACATCTTAACATTAAAAAATACTAAAACACATTTTCTGCCTGACGTTGATTCAACAGGCCGAAACGTTGAGATCATGAAATGTTATAATCCAGACCATAGTAATCAATACTGCAGTTATTGATCATCTACAGTCGCTCTAATGTAACTTGATTTAAAGGATCTCAGTGTTTCAACAGTTTTGCAGTTTTCTGGATGTTTGTTCCAGATTAGTAGAGTTAATTTATTGCTAAGTTATCAGTTAGATCAAACGTCATGTCATCCATTATCAGCTGAATCCTCCGTCTGTCAGACAGAAGAGGCAGGGAGCTTTTCAGGTTTGGCAGCATCCTCCACTGATGCTTTTCCTTTCTGTAGGCTGGCTGCTGGCCACTGCGCCGACAGCAGACGAGTGTTTCTGGTGTGAACTCAACCAACTGGGAGCTTCCACAGCTGCTTTTCGTCCCAAACCGCTGGCCTTAAAGGGACGGATCGAATTAGAGAAACTACATCTGCTAAGATGTAAATTCCATCATTTCCTTCGGTCCACGAATGAAGAACCTCAAACCACCATGTCATCCATGGATGATGCAGAGGCAGCAACAAGGCGTGATGAGGACGGCGACCATCAACAATCTGTTCTAGTCAAAGTTTCCTTTGGGTTGATGGAGGACTTCATGCATTTATTCTTTATTCTCTTTATTGTGAGAATAAAAGGCTCTTTCATTTGCAGCTCAGAGTTTGGTGTCAGCATTTCTGCTCAGAGTCAAATATCAGACACTTGATGCACAAACTCCTTTATTTAGATGCAGCTGAGAGAAGCGTCTCTAAATGACAGGAAGTGGTTCGCCGCCGCTGAGACGTTTCCCTCAGCCGGCAGTGAAACCGGCAGCGACGGGTCGGGCGAACGCAGCCCGTGTTCCGGTTCTGGTTCTGGTTCCGGTTCTGGTTCCGGTTCCGGTTGCTGCTCTTTGCTTATCGGACCAGAGACCCGATGAATTCAGGCTCTCTGCTCTAATTCAGATTCACATACAGAAACTTTCCCACCAACACGGCTGGTTCGTGTCGCCGATGGCAACTGAACCAGATGCTTCCTGAAAGGTCAGAGGTCAGAGGTCAGATGGTCTGGAAGCAAAATTCACTCTGACTGGTTTATATCTCACTGTATAGAATTTATTTTTGTTTTGGTTGTTAATAATAAGATATTGTTCCTCATCATCCTAGATTTTATTATTGTTTTTGTTTATTATTGTATAATTTGAACTTTTATGGATTTTATCAACTCATTTGAGTTTTCTTGTCAGGTTCTGTGTTTTTCTGTGTTTTATTCTGTTTCTGTGTCCTGAGTTCTCCTCGTTGTCCTGTCTTCCCCTTGATTGTTCCCAGGTGTGTCTTATTCCCCTGATTACCCTCAGTGTATTTAGTCCCTCCTGTGTCCTCTGTTCCTCGTCGGGTTCTTGTCAGTTTGTCGTTGTCGTACTTTTGCCTTTGTCTGCCGTTGTGTGTTTAGCCGCCTGTATGACCAGTTGCTACCGGCGTTGAGCCCTGGCTTCCGCTCAGCCGTGCTGCCTGGCCGCGGACTCTGTTGACGTGTTTTTGTGGATTATTTTCATTAAATTACTCACCATTCACCTACCTGGGTCTCCAGCGTCTGCCTCACCATCTCTACTTCACCACTACATGACATTTCTACTGATTCATACATCCAGTGTTTCCTTTCTAATCTTTATCTTCACATCATGTTATGACGATATTCCCTCAACTAAATCAAACTTGTTGCTTTGATTATTTCATGTTGGAGAAATCCTTTCATCTCCATGGCAACCATTCTGCTGCAAAATGCCTGGGAGGACTTAGCCCCGCCCCCCGCCACAGCTCCTCCTCTGAGCTGATAAACGCAACATTTTCATGACAGCAGCAGGTAACACATTAATGCAGCTAATTTAAGCCAAGACTCTGCAGGGATTCCAGCTTCCTGCTGCTTTTCCCTGGAGATTTTCTTCCACTTAAAATAAAAATAAATATGGTAAAACATGTTGCGTCATTATGGGCTTCAAACTGCTGAGTAAAAGTTCCAGATTCTGCAGCAAGATGGAAACTAACAGAGTGAAGTTCTGAAAGGAAAAGCAGAAGAAAATGATCAAAAGGTGTTTCAGTGGAAAACCCCGAGGAACTTCAGCTTATCAGCCGTTCAGACGGATCTATTTTAAATCTATTTCTGCATTTCTAGAAATAGAAATAACTTAGGCAGATAAAATGCAGATTAATGAATGTTTGTGTTGCTTTGAGTTGGAATGACCTGAAACCATCTGGATGCTTTCAGTGGGTTGATAGCTCAGGCCTACCTGTTGGCAGCGATGTAGCCCATGAACAGGATGCTGGCGTACATGTTGAGGTAAAAGGCCGAGGCGCCGAAGTTGCAGTAGACCTGTCGGATGAGGGTGGAGTTGGTGGAGAAGTTCATGATGCGCAGCGGGAGGCAGAGGCTGATGAGGAAGTCGGACGCCGCCAGGTTCTTCAGGAAGACGGTGACGCTGCTGGACTGGCGCTGCGACACGCAGAAATAAACCCGCAGCGTGAATCCGTTCAGGAACAAACCCACCTGAGGACGACAGGAACCGGGTCACACTGCAGCGACGACGACCAACCATGAAGCTCCAACCAAACACTCACCAGAAAAACCAGGCTGTAGATCACCATGAAGAAGGTGTTGGCCGATTGGTGAACTGGTTCACATTCGGTGGAGTTGCTGCTGTTCATCGTCTCTGGTTCTGGTTCTGGTTCGGGTTCGGGAGTTTGGACCGATTCCTTCACAGTGACTCACCAAACGAAGCCTGAGCTGGATTTATCAGAACCAGAGGACAGAGCAGGATGAGGTGCAAACGGTCACCAGTTATCTCTGTGAACTGAAAGAACAACTGGACACAAACTGGACCTTCCTGCTTTCTAAGTGTTTTCAGTTTTTAGTTGTTCTTAAATGAGCTGCAGTGCAGATCGAAGAGATGCTCACATTATTCTGGCTTCCTTGGTTTCATGTCGCTGATGTAGCTAAACAGTTTTATCCTTCGCTTTTAGTTGAGTATGGTTTAGTTTAGATTTATGTTGGTTTAGTTTAGATTTATTGTTGGTTTAGTTTAGATTTATGTTGGTTTAGTTTAGATTTATGTTGGTTTAGTTTAGATTTATTGTTGGTTTAGTTTAGATTTATCGTTGGTTTAGTTTAGATTTATTGTTGGTTTAGTTCAGATTTATCGTTGGTTTAGTTTAGATTTATCGTTGGTTTAGTTTAGATTTATTGTTGGTTTAGTTTAGATTTATGTTGGTTTAGTTCAGATTTATTGTTGGTTTAGTTTAGATTTATGTTGGTTTAGTTTAGATTTATTGTTGGTTTAGTTCAGATTTATTGTTGGTTTAGTTTAGATTTATTGTTGGTTTAGTTTAGATTTATTGTTGGTTTAGTTTAGATTTATGTTGGTTTAGTTCAGATTTATTGTTGGTTTAGTTCAGATTTATCGTTGGTTTAGTTTAGATTTATGTTGGTTTAGTTTAGATTTATTGTTGGTTTAGTTTAGATTTATCGTTGGTTTAGTTTAGATTTATTGTTGGTTTAGTTCAGATTTATTGTTGGTTTAGTTTAGATTTATGTTGGTTTAGTTTAGATTTATTGTTGGTTTAGTTCAGATTTATTGTTGGTTTAGTTTAGATTTATTGTTGGTTTAGTTTAGATTTATTGTTGGTTTAGTTCAGATTTATTGTTGGTTTAGTTTAGATTTATCATTGGTTTAGTTCAGATTTATCGTTGTTTTAGTTCAGATTTATCGTTGTTTTAGTTTAGATTTATCGTTGGTTTAGTTTAGATTTATGTTGGTTTAGTTTAGATTTATTGTTGGTTTAGTTCAGATTTATTGTTGGTTTAGTTTAGATTTATTGTTGGTTTAGTTTAGATTTATTGTTGGTTTAGTTTAGATTTATTGTTGGTTTAGTTCAGATTTATGTTGGTTTAGTTCAGATTTATCGTTGGTTTAGTTCAGATTTATGTTGGTTTAGTTCAGATTTATGTTGGTTTAGTTTAGATTTATTGTTGGTTTAGTTTAGATTTATCGTTGGTTTAGTTTAGATTTATTGTTGGTTTAGTTTAGATTTATCGTTGGTTTAGTTTAGATTTATTGTTGGTTTAGTTCAGATTTATTGTTGGTTTAGTTCAGATTTATTGTTGGTTTAGTTTAGATTTATGTTGGTTTAGTTTAGATTTATTGTTGGTTTAGTTCAGATTTATGTTGGTTTAGTTTAGATTTATGTTGGTTTAGTTCAGATTTATTGTTGGTTTAGTTTAGATTTATTGTTGGTTTAGTTCAGATTTATTGTTGGTTTAGTTTAGATTTATTGTTGGTTTAGTTCAGATTTATCGTTGGTTTAGTTTAGATTTATCGTTGGTTTAGTTTAGATTTATCGTTGGTTTAGTTTAGATTTATGTTGGTTTAGTTTAGATTTATTGTTGGTTTAGTTCAGATTTATGTTGGTTTAGTTTAGATTTATGTTGGTTTAGTTTAGATTTATTGTTGGTTTAGTTTAGATTTATTGTTGGTTTAGTTCAGATTTATTGTTGGTTTAGTTTAGATTTATTGTTGGTTTAGTTTATATTTATTGTTGGTTTAGTTTAGATTTATGTTGGTTTAGTTCAGATTTATTGTTGGTTTAGTTCAGATTTATGTTGGTTTAGTTTAGATTTATTGTTAGTTTAGTTCAGATTTATTGTTGGTTTAGTTCAGATTTATGTTGGTTTAGTTTAGATTTATTGTTAGTTTAGTTCAGATTTATTGTTGGTTTAGTTCAGATTTATTGTTGGTTTAGTTTAGATTTATCGTTGGTTTAGTTCAGATTTATTGTTGGTTTAGTTTAGATTTATTGTTGGTTTAGTTCAGATTTATGTTGGTTTAGTTTAGATTTATTGTTGGTTTAGTTTAGATTTATGTTGGTTTAGTTTAGATTTATCGTTGGTTTAGTTTAGATTTATGTTGGTTTAGTTTAGATTTATTGTTGGTTTAGTTTAGATTTATTGTTGGTTTAGTTTAGATTTATGTTGGTTTAGTTTAGATTTATGTTGGTTTAGTTTAGATTTATGTTGGTTTAGTTTAGATTTATGTTGGTTTAGTTCAGATTTATGTTGGTTTAGTTTAGATTTATGTTGGTTTAGTTTAGATTTATGTTGGTTTAGTTTAGATTTATGTTGGTTTAGTTCAGATTTATGTTGGTTTAGTTTAGATTTATGTTGGTTTAGTTCAGATTTATGTTGGTTTAGTTCAGATTTATTGTTGGTTTAGTTTAGATTTATTGTTGGTTTAGTTCAGATTTATGTTGGTTTAGTTTAGATTTATGTTGGTTTAGTTCAGATTTATGTTGGTTTAGTTCAGATTTATTGTTGGTTTAGTTTAGATTTATGTTGGTTTAGTTTAGATTTATTGTTGGTTTAGTTCAGATTTATTGTTGGTTTAGTTTAGATTTATGTTGGTTTAGTTTAGATTTATTGTTGGTTTAGTTCAGATTTATGTTGGTTTAGTTTAGATTTATTGTTGGTTTAGTTTAGATTTATCGTTGGTTTAGTTCAGATTTATCGTTGGTTTAGTTCAGATTTATGTTGGTTTAGTTTAGATTTATTGTTGGTTTAGTTCAGATTTATGTTGGTTTAGTTTAGATTTATTGTTGGTTTAGTTCAGATTTATGTTGGTTTAGTTCAGATTTATTGTTGGTTTAGTTTAGATTTATTGTTGGTTTAGTTTAGATTTATGTTGGTTTAGTTTAGATTTATTGTTGGTTTAGTTCAGATTTATTGTTGGTTTAGTTCAGATTTATTGTTGGTTTAGTTTAGATTTATTGTTGGTTTAGTTCAGATTTATGTTGGTTTAGTTCAGATTTATCGTTGGTTTAGTTCAGATTTATCGTTGGTTTAGTTTAGATTTATGTTGGTTTAGTTCAGATTTATCGTTGGTTTAGTTCAGATTTATGTTGGTTTAGTTCAGATTTATGTTGGTTTAGTTCAGATTTATCGTTGGTTTAGTTTAGATTTATCGTTGGTTTAGTTTAGATTTATGTTGGTTTAGTTTAGATTTATCGTTGGTTTAGTTTAGATTTATCGTTGGTTTAGTTTAGATTTATCGTTGGTTTAGTTCAGATTTATGTTGGTTTAGTTCAGATTTATGTTGGTTTAGTTTAGATTTATTGTTGGTTTAGTTCAGATTTATGTTGGTTTAGTTTAGATTTATTGTTGGTTTAGTTTAGATTTATCGTTGGTTTAGTTTAGATTTATGTTGGTTTAGTTTAGATTTATCGTTGGTTTAGTTCAGATTTATGTTGGTTTAGTTCAGATTTATTGTTGGTTTAGTTTAGATTTATGTTGGTTTAGTTTAGATTTATTGTTGGTTTAGTTTAGATTTATCGTTGGTTTAGTTTAGATTTATTGTTGGTTTAGTTTAGATTTATGTTGGTTTAGTTTAGATTTATTGTTGGTTTAGTTTAGATTTATTGTTGGTTTAGTTTAGATTTATGTTGGTTTAGTTTAGATTTATCGTTGGTTTAGTTTAGATTTATTGTTGGTTTAGTTCAGATTTATCGTTGGTTTAGTTCAGATTTATTGTGGGTTTAGTTCAGATTTATTGTGGGTTTAGTTCAAATTTATGTTGGTTTAGTTCAGATTTATTGTTAGTTTAGTTCAGATTTATTGTTGGTTTAGTTCAGATTTATTGTTGGTTTAGTTTAGATTTATTGTTGGTTTAGTTTAGATTTATCGTTGGTTTAGTTTAGATTTATGTTGGTTTAGTTTAGATTTATTGTTGGTTTAGTTCAGATTTATGTTGGTTTAGTTTAGATTTATTGTTGGTTTAGTTCAGATTTATTGTTGGTTTAGTTCAGATTTATCGTTGGTTTAGTTTAGATTTATGTTGGTTTAGTTTAGATTTATTGTTGGTTTAGTTTAGATTTATGTTGGTTTAGTTTAGATTTATCGTTGGTTTAGTTCAGATTTATGTTGGTTTAGTTCAGATTTATTGTTGGTTTAGTTTAGATTTATTGTTGGTTTAGTTTAGATTTATCGTTGGTTTAGTTTAGATTTATGTTGGTTTAGTTTAGATTTATTGTTGGTTTAGTTCAGATTTATGTTGGTTTAGTTTAGATTTATTGTTGGTTTAGTTCAGATTTATTGTTGGTTTAGTTCAGATTTATGTTGGTTTAGTTCAGATTTATCGTTGGTTTAGTTCAGATTTATGTTGGTTTAGTTTAGATTTATTGTTGGTTTAGTTCAGATTTATGTTGGTTTAGTTCAGATTTATGTTGGTTTAGTTTAGATTTATTGTTGGTTTAGTTCAGATTTATCGTTGGTTTAGTTCAGATTTATGTTGGTTTAGTTCAGATTTATGTTGGTTTAGTTCAGATTTATCGTTGGTTTAGTTCAGATTTATGTTGGTTTAGTTTAGATTTATCGTTGGTTTAGTTGAGATTTATCGTTGGTTTAGTTCAGATTTATGTTGGTTTAGTTCAGATTTATCGTTGGTTTAGTTCAGATTTATGTTGGTTTAGTTCAGATTTATTGTTGGTTTAGTTCAGATTTATGTTGGTTTAGTTTAGATTTATTGTTGGTTTAGTTCAGATTTATGTTGGTTTAGTTTAGATTTATTGTTGGTTTAGTTCAGATTTATGTTGGTTTAGTTTAGATTTATGTTGGTTTAGTTTAGATTTATGTTGGTTTAGTTTAGATTTATCGTTGGTTTAGTTTAGATTTATTGTTGGTTTAGTTCAGATTTATGTTGGTTTAGTTCAGATTTATTGTTGGTTTAGTTTAGATTTATGTTGGTTTAGTTTAGATTTATTGTTGGTTTAGTTTAGATTTATCGTTGGTTTAGTTTAGATTTATCGTTGGTTTAGTTTAGATTTATTGTTGGTTTAGTTTAGATTTATGTTGGTTTAGTTTAGATTTATGTTGGTTTAGTTTAGATTTATCATTGGTTTAGTTCAGATTTATCGTTGTTTTAGTTCAGATTTATCGTTGTTTTAGTTTAGATTTATGTTGGTTTAGTTTAGATTTATTGTTGGTTTAGTTTAGATTTATGTTGGTTTAGTTTAGATTTATTGTTGGTTTAGTTTAGATTTATTGTTGGTTTAGTTTAGATTTATCGTTGGTTTAGTTTAGATTTATGTTGGTTTAGTTTAGATTTATTGTTGGTTTAGTTTAGATTTATTGTTGGTTTAGTTCAGATTTATTGTTGGTTTAGTTTAGATTTATGTTGGTTTAGTTTAGATTTATCGTTGGTTTAGTTTAGATTTATCGTTGGTTTAGTTTAGATTTATGTTGGTTTAGTTTAGATTTATGTTGGTTTAGTTCAGATTTATTGTTGGTTTAGTTCAGATTTATGTTGGTTTAGTTTAGATTTATTGTTGGTTTAGTTCAGATTTATGTTGGTTTAGTTCAGATTTATCGTTGGTTTAGTTTAGATTTATGTTGGTTTAGTTTAGATTTATGTTGGTTTAGTTCAGATTTATGTTGGTTTAGTTCAGATTTATTGTTGGTTTAGTTCAGATTTATTGTTGGTTTAGTTCAGATTTATTGTTGGTTTAGTTCAGATTTATGTTGGTTTAGTTCAGATTTATGTTGGTTTAGTTCAGATTTATGTTGGTTTAGTTTAGATTTATTGTTGGTTTAGTTCAGATTTATGTTGGTTTAGTTTAGATTTATTGTTGGTTTAGTTCAGATTTATTGTTGGTTTAGTTTAGATTTATGTTGGTTTAGTTCAGATTTATCGTTGGTTTAGTTCAGATTTATCGTTGGTTTAGTTCAGATTTATCGTTGGTTTAGTTTAGATTTATGTTGGTTTAGTTTAGATTTATTGTTGGTTTAGTTCAGATTTATGTTGGTTTAGTTTAGATTTATGTTGGTTTAGTTTAGATTTATTGTTGGTTTAGTTTAGATTTATTGTTGGTTTAGTTTAGATTTATGTTGGTTTAGTTCAGATTTATTGTTGGTTTAGTTCAGATTTATGTTGGTTTAGTTCAGATTTATCGTTGGTTTAGTTCAGATTTATCGTTGGTTTAGTTTAGATTTATGTTGGTTTAGTTCAGATTTATTGTTGGTTTAGTTTAGATTTATGTTGGTTTAGTTCAGATTTATTGTTGGTTTAGTTCAGATTTATTGTTGGTTTAGTTTAGATTTATTGTTGGTTTAGTTTAGATTTATTGTTGGTTTAGTTTAGATTTATTGTTGGTTTAGTTTAGATTTATGTTGGTTTAGTTCAGATTTATTGTTGGTTTAGTTCAGATTTATGTTGGTTTAGTTTAGATTTATTGTTGGTTTAGTTTAGATTTATGTTGGTTTAGTTTAGATTTATGTTGGTTTAGTTTAGATTTATGTTGGTTTAGTTTAGATTTATTGTTGGTTTAGTTCAGCTAAGCTCGTGTTCATGTCGGCGTGTGCAAATTTATTTCAGCTTAAATGTTCACATACTAGCTAACCTTGACTCATTGTTAGCTAATGTTAGCTTGTCTTTGCTATGTTTGGCTTCAGTTGGATGTTTTATGTTTATCTTATTTCATCTTAGCTTTTTCTGATTTATCTTAGATTGCCTTTGCTTTAGTTAAAGTAAATTAAAATGAATTTAATTCTTTGCTCTACAGAATTAATCCTCATCTCTCACCGAGCTTTACTTGATAAAAGCTTTAGCTCATGTTTTATCAGTCACAGCCTGCTGTACCATCACTTAGCTTAGCATATTTACCATGACTTAAATTAATGATGTTTAGCCTGTTATTAAACAGTTAAATCAAAGTCTTATTTTCTAAGACTTCAGATATTTTAATTTAATTGTTTTTAGCTTTTTAAAGCCTAGCTTGGTGTATTACAACTTAGGTTAACATATCTAAGTTAAATTGACTTAAATTAATGACTATTAGCCTCCCTTGGCTCAGTTTAACTGAACTCAGATTATATTTGTTAATTTAGGTCATATTTGCTCATAATTTAGCATAATAAAGTTCAATATTTTATGTCAGATTTTCTTTATTGTTGGTTGAATGTCTGAAATAATCTGTTAAGTTAACCAGCTTTACTGTATTGATGAACATCATGTCTAATCAAATATGTAAGGAATCTATTCCAGTATTTACAGTAATTGCTCTCATCAGAGGTTTTATCTTTGCATCAGTCGGTTCATGTGTGAAATAGGTCATCATATTTAATAAGAACTGAAACGTTCTGGGTTCAGAACCCGTCTCAGGTCGGTTCTGAAGCAGCTTATCGAAACATCAAACATCTGCAGAAAGCCACAAAGAAAAGGCAACGATAACAGTCATGAGAAAACGCTGCTCACATGCTGGGGCAGATTTCTGCTCACTTTATTAAAATGTTGAAGGAAATTTCTGCTTATGTGTCAGAAATGCATAAAAAAAACTCAACTGAGAGCAACAAGCTGTTTGTTCACAAATACAAATTACTAAACTGTAATTATAACTGATTGCTTTTAGGTTGGTCAGTTAATCTACTTTAATCTCCCAGATTAAATCCAACAGAAGCTGTTAGAGGTTCTGATGTTTTAGCAGTGAGGGGCCCGTGGGTCAGGTTCTGCCCCGGGCCTCATGCAGCCTTGGACCGGCCCTGCAGCTTCATCAGCGCGAGGAGCAGCTTTCATAGGAAAGACATTAAACCCTGCTTTCAAAATGAAATTGTGTGCTCTTGGTTTATGGCTGAAAAAAACCTTCATATTCATTTAGTCAAACCAGAAGAGCAACTGAAGCCGTGAAATGTTATTTGAACGTCTGAGGAATAATCCAGATTATTTCTGCTAATCTGTGTAACATCACAAATTGCTCCCCCTCCTCCCCTTCTCTGATATATTACCTAGTTAATGGATTATTGGATTAGATGTGATCAGTTAATGACTGCAGCAGATTAAATCTGTGCAGCAGCAGAAACTAAGAGTCTCAATGTTTATTGTCGGCTTTTGATTTGGTGGATTTACAGATTAATGCTGCTTCCTGTTTTCACATGATATCAAGAAGTAAACAGCAATGTTAGCGTGATGAACTAATCCCTTCACAAATGGCCTTGCTTCCCATTAGACCGTTTTTTACTGCGGAGGATCGACTCACAGCCCAGGGCGTCATTCCATGGAGGGGCGGCTTGTGTTCTCACACAAAAACATTATTTTTTTTCTCACGTTTTTGGACGCTCGTCCAATGAGAAGCTGGCAACAGATGAACGTGTGAACGCTCATGATACTGAAGTTGGTGTCTGACTGACTGGCCCCCATTCAGTCCCACATTTAAAGGGCAAGCACAGCGTCGCACTAACAGCATGCTAACAGCATGCTAACAGCTGCTGATTGTCTCTAAAACAGCGGAGAAACAAACTGATCATTAACTGATCACATCAGTTAATGATCACAGCAACAAAACAAAATAAAGTTCAGAGAAATGAGGAGCAGCTCATTTATTGACATGAAAAAAGTCTTTGATGCTGTTGACCGCAGGATTTTATTAGTCAAATTGAGTCATTTTTATGTCCCAGAGGAGGAAAAAATACCATGTAAAAAACTAACTAACTAACTAACTAACTAACTAACTAACTAACTAACTAACTAACTAACTAACTAACTAACTAACTAACTAACTAACTAACTAACATGGAGTCAGGCTGCTGACTCTGCAAAACGCCGTTTTGGGTTCAAACGTTTCGTTCCTTTTCCTGTCATGTTTTTCCAGCTGGTTTATTTTTAAACTCTTTTGCTGAAACGCCTTTTATAAAAAATATAAATGTTTGATCATCATATTGATGCAAAATGTGGGAGGATTTCTGGTTTTGTGGACATTTAGGAGGATCTGGTTGTTTTATTGGTTCAGAATCTGAACCAATTGAAATCAGCAGAAATCTGGAATATTTCAACTGAATTGATTATGTTTAATATTTAATGCTGATCAGACCTGATGAGTCTGGACTGAACTGGAACCTTCAAAACATCCAAACTTTTTTCTCACTGACTTTTAATCAGGCTGAAGTTTTCCTGCTTCACGTCTGAAAGCATTAAATTATTTCTGCCATAAATTATTAAATTATGGCAGAAAAATGAGACGGACGTTTTTTATTTTAGAGAATTTGATTTAATTTTTTTTAATAGACAGATTTAAATCCTGGATTAACTGTGACCCAAACGAACCCAAACAGGAAGAGTGAAATCAGACCGAACCATTCAGTGGTTCGGTTCTGTGAATGCGGCGGACCGGACGGTCCAGGAATCAGAACCAAACCCAAAACAGATCAGCTTTAAAACGTGCAGAGAAATGGAAAAAAACGAGTCCAAAAAGCAGAACCGAACCTCGTGATCCAGTTAGAAAGCTGCTCTCACTTCTCCATCAGCCGCTTTGAAGGTCGAACCATCAAAGTATCGATCCATAAACTCCGAACCTCCGATATTCTGTCCTCTGGCGGCTGTTCGTCCCTGTGGGGCAGAACGCTGCGGTTTTCACCTGCAGGTCAGAGAAACTCCAAGCAGCTGATCTACAGACAATCTCAACTTTTCTCTTGCAGAAACCGCGGAACCGCATCAGACACAAAACCCGAACCGAAGGAAGCAGCTGCTGCCCAGCTGCCAGGTGAGAAACCGCCGCAGCTTTTCAGCGCAAAACGTTTGGATCAGTTTCCTCTGGAAACATGAAGGATCTGAAGCGCATCGCCTGATGACCTCTGACCTTCCGCAGAGTCAAAGCTGGAAATGATCAGAATTACCTGCTGGACTCACCTGTGTGCGTCTGTCAGCCTCCAGATTACTGCTCTGACTTCCTCCCTCTGTGAGCTGCGCGCTGCTGCTGCAGCTGCTGCAGCTGCTGGGGGAGGAGGAAGAGAAAAACGGAAACCTGCTGCACTGCTGCTCATTTGCAAAACAAAAAACTCAGTTTTCCTGGTCAGCTGCTTTCCATAGAAAACCTGTTTACAGCAGGAAGAAGCAACAGGCTTCATCCTGCTGCAGCAGCTGCTGCAGCGAAACGAGCGGAGCTGCTGCAGCTGGTTCTCTGGTTTCCTTCAGCAGACAAACTGCTTCACCTGAAGGTCTGCAAACGACCCAGTGGGTCAAACATAAAGACTCCTTCATGTTGACGATGCAAACTCCTCAAATAAAGTTTTCCCATCATTTCTACCCAGAACCATCAGCAGATCAAATCTCCATCAGGATGAGTTTAGGTAACTTCAGGTGGAGTCCCACAGGGCTCTGTTCTCGCCCCGTTGTTTTCTCCTCCTGCTGCTGTTTGGAGCCGTTTGCTTCCATCAGCATCGTCTCACCTGTTGACCTGCTGACCTGCTGACCGGCAGCTGCTTTGTTTCCAGAAACAGGAAGTATCGCTGAGTTTGGAGCACAGATGGCAGAAAACAAACGTCTGGATGTTGAACGTTCTCACAGTTTGGTGCCTCTGGTAAGGCACAGATCTGTTCTGCTTTTCCATCTTTTATTTTATAAAAAACTTTTCAAAGCTGTTTCTGATTTTTCCGTTTCTACTGCGACATCATTTATCAAACTGCATAAAACATGGAAACACGTCGGTCCGTTTTCCAGACTGGACTGTTAAAACAAACTGGTGGCTCATCTGAGCCCGGTTCTGGTTCTGCTGTTAACACGAGTTTTTCCTCTCCACTGTCGCTACTTGCTAACTTTAATAATAAACTTGATGCATTGATTCTCTGCTGAATCCTCTGATTCCTGACAGGAAAATCCTGGACTTCTGGGTGTTCTGCTTAAATCTGGGCCTGATCTGAACCGGACCCGATCCTGAAGCCGTCTTTGGGCCGGTTGATTCAAACTCTGGTTCTGTGTTGCTTCAGGTAACACTTTGACCTATTTTACTCAGAAACTTTAAGTTTGCAGTTGATAAAATACAGAGTCTGATGCTTTAATGCTTCAGGATATTTGAGCCAAACTGCTGACCGGACTGTGGGAACGCTGCGGTTCTAGGTTGGTTCTGTCTGAGGTTCTGCTGACCCTGCAGGGGTCCAGGCATGAGAGGTTCTGTGGAGATGTTTACATTACTAAAAATACTGGAGCAGCCACTTGAGGGCAGTTACCAAAGCAAGCAACAGTCACATGCAGACACCATGTATAAAGAGGCTGGGATTTGAACCCACAACCCAGCAGGGCCTCCAGTTTAAAGTAGCTTCTTCGTAACGTTTTTAAGGGATTGTTTGTCAGAAAAGCGGCTGAGGTTTGTTTTCTCTGCTTATCGGTTGGATCTGAGCAGCCGGTTTGTGACGCAACATTCCTGCTACCAGGAAGTCTGCAGGAATTTTCCCTGCAGAGGGAAAACCCAGCAGGAAGAGGAGCAACAGTTCTGGTTCAGAGCAGGAGTCCAACCAGAACCGGACCGACCCGATTCATGTCCATTACAATCTGAACAAACATTAACATGGTTTTTACTTCATTTCTGCTCAAAATTAAAATAACTTTAAAATTCATTAAAGCCAATAAACAGAAGCAGTAAAATCATCCTGGTACCAAGAGATAAAACAAAATCACACACTAATAATGTTTCACACACTAATAATGTTTCACACACTAATAATGTTTCACACACTAATAATGTTTCACACACTAATAATGTTTCACACACTGATGAAATGTCTGTTTATGGGAGGGAAACATTTCTGCATGCAGGTTTATGTTGTTACACACTTTAAACACTAGATGGCGCCAAAGCAAATAAAAACTGCAGGTTTTTGCAGCCATTCAGACTTTAATTCAGCAAAATAATCTTGATAAAATCAATTACTGACACTCCAATATTTTTCTTAGATAAATACAAATATATTTTTGTAAATTCTTTACTTTTCCAGGAGTTTGTAATAAGCCATCCATAACTTCCTGTTTTAAATGGATATAAATAAATGTATGATATAAAACTGAGGCCTATTTCTTAATGTTTGTGTTTAAAGCAGAAAAAAACAAGAAAATCTGCAGCTAAAACAGAAAACTGTTGACCTTTATCATACAGAAAACATCTGCTTGTCTGAATAGTTTTATGTAGAGCAGTCAGAGCAGTGATTTAAAGTTTAGAGCCACAGAAACTTGAACCTTTGTGATGCTGTTTCTTGTCCTTCTGGGTGGCCTACTGGAGGACAGGACATCAAGTTTCCACCTGCTGGAGGAAACGTGCAGGTTGAGGTGAAGACAGGAGGACGCTGCAGCATCTCCAACAACCAGACAACAAAATATCCACGTTTCAATCACCTGGTTCTTAAAGTGCTGACATGGTGGTTTTCCTCCTTTCCTCAGAGACTCTTCTGGTCTGGATCTCCTGCATGTCAAAACGTTTTCAAGTTTACGATTTTTCCCTCAAAACAGCTCAAAAATCATTGAGCCACCAATCTTTGCTCTCGTCCTTCTTCTGCAGGTTGTTGACTTTAGAAGAGGCCAAAGTGGAATATTTGCCTCTATCTTCTTTATAGACAACATCTCTATGATGACATCAACACTTCATTGCACCAATCGAGCTTCTGTCTACATCTTTGTCTCCAAATCGTCTCATGGTGAAAATCTGAATATTTTTGGCTTTCTTAGTGTCAGCGTCTTCAAACCGTCCGTCATGACAGGCCTCAGTCCGTCTTCATGACCTTCGCTTTGATCGCACAGCTCTCCTTCCAACCCTGATCTCCAAACTCTTTCTTCCCTCTTCCCACCATGTTCGTTCTTCACCTCATTGGCCTTCAGCCCTCTGTGAACCATCCGCCTGCCCTAAAACCTCAACCTCATCTTACTGCCCTTGCCAGTCCAGTAACACCCACAGTCTGCCATCATTGACCTCTTCATGCAGATTTGACCCCTAACTGTCTCCATTCTCCAGATCAACAATAACACATGGGAACTATGTGACATGTTCTGTTCCTTTCTGTTAAAGCCAAAAATGGAAAAAGACAGAAAGAAGGCTCTGAAATTAGGCAGTTTTTTATTATTGGACTCATACAGTCATGAAACTCCTTGCGTCTCCTGTGTCTCCTGTGTCTCCTGCGTCTCCTGCTGCACAGACTCAAGGATCTGCTGTGCTCTGGTTGCCTCCTCTTCCAGGATCTACTCTGTCCTTGTCTTCTCTTTCAGTGTCTCCTCTTGCTTTGCATCCATTCCTCCATCCCCCCTCTACATGTTGCTCAGACTCTTGATTGGTTGACAGACGCTTCCTCCTCTTTTTACTGGACAGTTTTCTTATAAGTGACTTTCTGAACCTTTGGCACATTAGGAAGTAGATCAGGGGGTCGAGGCAGACATTCGTCGCTGACAGGAATAGAGTCCCCTCTTTGATCTGGTGCAGCAGGATGCTGTTACCTTTGCTAAAGCTTGATGATGACATCTGGCTCATGGTGTAAGGCACGCGGCAGATGTGGTACGGCACAAAGCAGACTGTGAACACTGCCAGAATGCTGAAGATGTTGCGGTTGGAGTTCTGGTAGATGCCCCTGCTGTCGCGCCGCATGCAGCGATACGTCTTGTAGATCTGGTGAGCTATGAAGGTGTAGGAGAAGCCGACGATAAGCAGCGTTACCCAGAATAGAGACATGTTAATAAGGACAGATACTCTGTGCCACTGGGCACCAAGGGGCGTCTTCAGCTGCATGCATTTTGTGAAGTTATGGCCTTTGGCAGGCCAGGTTGCCAGCATGGTGTTGGGTGCAGAGTATAAGAAGAGGAGGCCCCAGGTGAGGACCACCAGAACCCGGGCAAAGGTGGTACTCTGCATTAGAGCAGACACTCCACTACATTTCATCTTGAAGGAGGAGGTGCGTGTGGAGGAAATCTTGGCATAGCGCTCCAGGCTGATGTAGCCTATGGACAGCATTCCTGCATACATGGACATGTAGAAGAGCACGGCATTGAATCGGCAGTTGAAAATCCAAAGGTGGCAGCTGTTGAAGCCCATCTTCACCGCCACCCTGATGGGGAAGGAGAGCAGCATGAGCAGGTCGGCCACCACCATGTTCTTCAGGTAGACCACCAGGCCAGAGTCTGCTGGGACTCTGAAGAAGATCCAGGCGGCCACAGCATTTAGCACCACACCCACAACGAAGAGGACGATGTAGAGAGACGGCAGGACCTGGTTGGTGAAGACAGTGCTGCTGCCGGTGCTGTTGGTGGAGCTGTTACAGAAGTCCATACCTGGAAAAAATCATTAACACATGATACAAACATGCTTAATGAAACTTCAAAACAATTTTTGTTCAAACCTTTTACAGGATTGATAGGTTAGAGTGACCGAGCTACATTTTTAAATAATTGCTCGATCATAATGTTACGTTCCCAGGATCTGCCGAGACTAAAACCTCAACAATAATAGCAGTAAAGGTCAGGAAGTTGTTCTTTAACTCTGGCTTTCTGCTTCAGGTTTTTTGTGCATTCATCTGACTCTGGTTTATTCATAATTCTGCAGAAGGAATCTTTGAATGATAGATTCCCCAGATGAGACATTGTCTCTGACTGAGGGAGGAGACATGCAGCCAACGCTTGGCTCCAGTCCAGAGCTGAGAAGAGAAGCGCAGCGTTATGCTGTCCTAGCTGAGCCAATCACAGCTCGTTCCAGAGCAGAGGACGCGATGTGTGCTAGCTGCACTCACGCTGAAAGTTGCTAGCTTAGCAGTGAATTGCTCCCTGGTTCTCCACAGTGGCATAGTGACTCTACGTAAAGCTAAACTTTCCTCGTTGGAGTTTCCCTCATGCAGACTTTCTGACAGGCGTGTGGAATAAAGTTAAGTCCAGTTCCATCTGTTGTCGCTGTCATCAGCTGCCAGTTTGACGTCAGACATCAAAACCAGTCAGTGGGAAAACAAATGATCATCAAACTGGTTCCATGCATGACATGCAAATCTCCAATTCCAGTTAATGTACTGAAATGCCACAGATGCTGCTTTGTTTGCCAGTTAAAATCTTCCCAGCTGTTTCAGTAGAAGTGATCTTTGTGCACAGAGGGACTCATTTGTTAGGCAAATCTGCCTCTGTGTGTCCAGCTCTGTGTGTCCAGCTGGGACGGTGTGTTGATGATGAGCTGATGCTCTGTGGGCTTAAACAGTTTGTTCTGATCCAACTTCCTTCTAGAAACAAAATACAAACTCTGCATGTGTTGGTGCAGAATAGAAGAAGTTCTCCTGATTGGTTTGGCTGAGGAAACCATCCTGGACCATGACCAGAACCATGTGGTCCATGTGGTTCTGGTCCAGTCTGATAAACTGGACCAGGTGTCCAGGAAGACGCCGTCTGATGATTCCCAGATTTTCCTCGACCATGTTAACATGGAGGATAGCCTGCATTCAGGTGAGGTCTCTGTGACCAGCAGCATGTTGGAGGAAGAGCCGCTCCGTCAGTTTCCTCTTGACAAGGTTTGCCCTGGTCTGAGGGGCCTTTCTAGATAACGATGGATCATAAACGACACAGAGCGACACGACGCGACGCAACGACGCGACGCAACGACGCGACGCAACGACGCACCGACGCAACGCAACGACGCAACGACGCAACGCAACGACGCACCGACGCGACGCAACGACGCGACGCAACGACGCGACGCAACGACGCGACGCAACGACGCGACGCAACGACGCGACGCAACGACGCACCGACGCGACGCAACGACGCGACGCAACGACGCAACGCCTCGACGCAACGACGCGACGCAACGACGCGACGCAACGACGCGACGCAACGACGCGACGCGACACGACACGACGACGCAACGACTTCTTAGTGGGGAACCATCTTGTTTTTCATCACACACCTGGAGTTTTGCTTTGATTTTTCATGGATATTTGAGAAATCGTTAAATCTCCATGGCAACCATTCAGCTGCATAACACCAGGATGGGCCGAGCTCCGCCTTCAAGGCGCAGCTCCTCCCCCCTCAACTCCTTCAGTCTAGCCAGTAGCAATTAGCAACCAGCAGGTGGAGCTGCAGAGCAGTTAACATGTTGATAGAGGAGTCATGTTTTCATGACTTCCTGAGACTTCAGAAACCAGAGGCGGAGCCAGACTTTGTTCCAAGGGGGGCCAAAGGGTGAGCAAGGCTTTATCAGAGGGTCCATATACAAATGGATCGTTCCATGGAACAAAAGGAAAAAATATGTTTCCTTTCGTTCAAAATTAATTAATATAACTAGTTAGGTTATAATTCAAAGCTTTCATATGACATAGCCTACTTACATTTCAGTCATTATAAAACTTAATGGTTTTTCTCATATTCTTCACACATTTCAAGCAAGAGCTGGGAGAAATAAAACATTAGAGGGCAGCATGTCACTAAAACATGTTAAAAGAATCTGTCTAAAACACGATCTATTAGCACTAGCATGGCTAATATAATAAACCAGGCACTATGCAGCGGTACACAACCATTTTGTTTCTTTTTAGAAATGTATGACAAGAGCCGCCTCTCATTAGGAAGGTAACAGCGGTTACTGCTGAGCGGTAAAATGTTGGAAATACCTGCAAAACTCCTGACGGTGTAACTCTAAAGCCGTTGATGTGTTTTGGATCAAGCAGGAACCAACATGTCAGTTTAACCAATGAACAGCGTCGGGCATCGGGCTGCCTTCAGGGACAGTCGGAAATTACAGTTTTCCTGGCAAATCTTTGCCGATCTCATAAGTATTATATTTTAAAATGACCATTTCCAGTGGGGTGGCACTAGGGGGGGCAAGGGCTCTGTTGGGGGTGGCAAGTGCCACCCCGGCACCCCCTCTGGCTCCGCCACTGCCAGAAACTTCAAACTTTCAAATTGATTTTAAATCCATGTTTCAGAACCATCAGAATTGCAGAACAGCCATATCCCCCTGACCTCTGACCCCGACTCCCAAACGGTGTTGCATGACTGAGTAGCTTTGTCGTCTTGAGGAGTCATCCTTCATTTGATCTGTTTTTGTGCAGCATTCTGAGTCTGATGCAACAACATCTACAACAGAATAAACTGTTTTACACAGCAAATAAAATTAATCTGATATTTATTAGTGTTTAAAATACTAGAATATAACTTTCAAAATGTCATCAGGCGACTTCACTGAACTATTTGTTAGTTTACCAAACATGCTTCCCGTCTTACCTGAGTAACTAAACGGACCCGGTTGTCTCAGTAACGATGGGAGGGAACTGGACCTTCCTCCCTGCCGTTGTCTCTCTGGTTCTGCTCGGCTCTGACCCGAGCAGAACCAGACGCAGCTTGTTGCCGTCAGTGTGACCACAAACCACACCTTCCTGAAACAAACGCTCTCTCATGTCAGCCGAAAACAGACCTGAGATCAGCTCCAGGAAACCGGACCCGGTCAACAAACCTCTAAAAACATCAAAGCTACAAATAAAATCTGATGCAAAACTGAATAAACGCAACAGAAACCAGGATGAAGGTTAATGCAACAGAACTGATGGCTGGAAGCAAAAGATCCAGCAACACGACCAGAACCAGCTGCACTGGTCCAGTTTCACATCAAACTTCAGCAATAATCTGGGTTATTTATCCTATTTAGAAATAAACTAAATATTTATTAATATTTCATATCTTCAGAAAACTTTTCATTCATTTGTAAATGTTTGAGTTTTTAGCTAAACTGAAACCTTAAAGTAAAGTTTCAGTTTCAGGCCAAACATTTTACTAAGAAACCGGCTCAAGTGATTCTGACTTCAGATCCTGATGGTTCCCTCCGGTCCTGTCCGGTCCGGTTCTGGAGGAGTTCTCCAGAACACCGGGTTGAGCTCCAGCTGGTTCTGATCACAGCAGCTGATCCACATCCTGTCTGTCTGCAAACCCGTCCTGCATCAGAACAATGAATGATACATTTTGCTGCTTCACTCTAGAAAACAGCCACCTTTTCAAACAACCAACTGGTTTGAGTTCTTTAAAGGAGAAAGCGGGTCAGAATCTGGGTCAGTTCTGCTCTGTTACTTCTCCAAGTCCATTTCAGGACAATCTGTGTTCATCCTGCTGATGGTGAGACGGTTGAGTCTGTGGCTTCAGAGCAGAAGGTGCGAACAAAACACCAGGAAGTGGTTTGGTGATGGTTCTGTCTGTTTGCTTCGGGTTGTGATGTGCAGAAAGTTGAGTATCAGGATCAATCAGAAGCTGATAATCAAATGCATTGATCAGACAGATGGGAAAACCTTCACAATGTTTATATTATAACTAAATATCTAGTTGGCAAAATAAATGTTTAGTTAGAACATATTTTCAGCATTCACTCTGGTATCTGTCATATGGTGGAGGTGGTGAGACAAAGACTCAGAGACACAGGTAGACAGTAAAAAGGTTTTAATGATCACCAATGTCTGAACACACAGTCAGCAAACCAGTCCGTGGCCAAGCAGCCCAGCTGGGCGGAAACCACAGATCACACTGGTAACAACTGGTCAACCAGGCGGACACACGACAAAACAACGACAAGAAACGACGAGAAACGACGAGAAACGACGAGAAACGACGAGAAACGACAAGAAACGACGAGAAACGACAAGAAACGACGAGAAACGACGAGAAACGATGAGAAACGACAAGAAACGACGAGAAACGACGAGAAACGACGAGAAACGACGAGAAACGACGAGAAACGACGAGAAACGACGAGAAACGACAAGAAACGACGAGAAACGACAAGAAACGACGAGAAACGACGAGAAACGACGAGAAACGATGAGAAACGACAAGAAACGACGAGAAACGACGAGAAACGACGAGAAACGACGAGAAACGAAAGAAACGACAAGAAACGACGAGAAACGACAAGAAACGACGAGAAACGATGAGAAACGACAAGAAACGACGAGAAACGATGAAAACAACAAAACAACAACAAGAAACGACGAGAAACGACGAGAAACGACGAGAAACGACGAGAAACGACGAGAAACGACGAGAAACGACAAGAAACGACGAGAAACGACGAGAAACGACAACAAGAAACGACGAGAAACGACGAGAAACGATGAGAAACGACGAGAAACGACGAGAAACAACAAAACAACAACGAGAAACGACGAGAAACGACGAGAAACGACGAGAAACGATGAAAAACAACAAAACAACAACAAGAAACGACGAGAAACGACGAGAAACGATGAAAAACAACAAAAACAACAAGAAACGACGAGAAACGACAAGAAACGACGAGAAACGACGAGAAACGACGAGAAACGATGAAAAACAACAAAACAACAACAAGAAACGACGAGAAACGACGAGAAACGATGAGAAACGACGAGAAACAACGAGAAACGAAAGAAACGACAAGAAACGACGAGAAACGACGAGAAACAACGAGAAACGACGAGAAACAACGAGAAACAACGAGAAACGACGAGAAACAACGAGAAACGAAAGAAACGACAAGAAACGACGAGAAACGACGAGAAACGATGAGAAACGATGAGAAACGACAAGAAACAACAAGAAACGACGAGAAACGACGAGAAACGATGAGAAACGACGAGAAACGACGAGAAACGATGAGAAACGACGAGAAACGACGAGAAACGACGAGAAACGACGAGAAACGATGAAAAACAACAAAACAACAACAAAACAACAACAAGAAACGACGAGAAACGACGAGAAACGATGAGAAACGACGAGAAACGACGAGAAACGATGAGAAACGACGAGAAACGACGAGAAACGACGAGAAACGACGAGAAATGGCAAGAAACAAAGGACACAGGAGGGATTAAATACACTGAGGGGAATCAGGGGAACAAGACACACCTGGGAACAATCAAGGGGAAGACAGGACAACGAAGACACAGAAAACTCAAACACATGGAAAAACATGGAACATGACAACTAGGGCGCTTCTTATTTCTACATTAAATCATCATTTTCTCATCTGGGTTCCGGCGTTTCCCTCACCACCTCATATCCACCAGTTCCTGACGCTAACCGCTAATCATCTAAACATATCGAACTGGATAAAAAGCAAAACATTCCTCCAGTGAAATTAAAAACAGATTTCGACATATTTCCATGAAATGAGCCAAATCAAAACAGTCCAACACAAGTTAATGCTTTATTGAACATAAAACTCACCGATAAATAAAACTCATGTTTGCTATTCTTGTGAACTAAGCAGAAGCACAACTGGTCTGAGTTTTTCAGAACCTGCTGATCTACAAGGATTTGAACCCACAACCATCTCTCAGATTAAGAGAGATTGTTCTGAAAACGGAGAAACTATCTAGTGAGTAGCAGGACATCGGAGGAAGAGTTTCTGGTCCAGAAAGTCTCAGGTTGAGCTGGTTGGGTCGGTCTTTGGTGTGAACATGAAGGCCTGGATCTGTTTGCTTTGGATCAACGGCTCAGGCTGCTGAGTGTCGCCTTTGACCTTCATCAGTCCTCAATCGCCACAATGGACCCATCTTCTGATCTATAATGGACCAAAGCTCAGATCATCTCAGACTTTGCTACGTTTGCAAGGTCCACACAGCACTAGAGTCCATCATTGTTGCTTCTGCACAGGCCCAGTTTTACGCACCTTGAAGCTTAATGGACGCTAATAACTGGACCTGGTAATCTGGAAGATTATCAGTTGATTCAGTGTGAAAGATCTAAGATACCAGCCCATAAGGACTGGTTCTGGTCTCCATATCATCCAGTTTGGATCGTCACCAAGGATCTCCTCACTGCTCAGCACCTTCTTTCTTTTGCTCCCACCTTTTCTCTCTTTGCTCCTCATTTCTTTGTCCTCTTCTCCTAGATGTTGCTGAGACTCTGAGCGGTTGTAAGCGACTTCCTCTTTGCTCTCACTGACAGTTTCCTCAGCAGAGACTTTCTGAAAGTCCCACACATCAGGAAATAGATCACAGGGTCGAGACAGACATTCATCGCCGACAAGAAGAGCGTTCCCTCCTTAATCTGGAAAAGCCAGAATTTGACATCTGAGCTGAAGCCTGAATGGCTGAACTGGCTCAGAGTGAACGGCACGCGGCAGATGTGGTACGGCACAAAGCAGATGAAGAACACCACCAGGATGCTGAAGATGCTGCGGTTGGACTTGCGGCAGATGTCGGTGGTGTCGCGGCGCGTGCGGCGGTACGTCTTGCACACCTGGTGAGCGATTGAGGTGTAGCAGAAAGTCACAGTAACAAGCGTCACCCAGAACAAGGACACGCTGATATGGCTTGAGACTTTGTGCCACTCCTGGCCCAGTGGCGTCTTCATTTCCACACATCCTGGTTCGTGTTTCTTGTGAAGATTGCTTGTCAGAATGACATTGGGGCCAGAACACAGGAACAGGAGGCTCCATGTGAGGACCGCCAGAACCCGGGCAAAGGTGGGCCTCTGGATATGCTGCAGCACAGACACAACACTGAATCTGGAGGAAGGGATGGTGGAGGAGGAAGGGGACAAGCAAACAACCTTGACGTAGCGCTCAAGGCTGATGAAGCCGATGAAGAGGATTCCAACATACATAGAGAAGTAGAAGAGTACATCAGTGTAGCGACACCTGATCACATGGAGGTCCGAACTCTCATAGCCCAAGTAACCAGCCACCCTGAAGGGGAAGGAGAGCAGCATGAGCAGGTCGGCCACCGCCATGTTCTTCAGGTAGACCACCAGGCCAGAGTCTGCTGGGACTCTGAAGAAGATCCAGGCGGCCACAGCATTTAGACACAGGCCCAGAACGAAGACGGCGATGTAGAAAGGGGGAAGGACCTGCTTGGTGAAGATGCTGTGATGGTTGGACTGGTTGGTGAAGATGCTGTGATGGTTGGACTGGTTGGTGAAGTCAGACGAATTGAGGATCTCCATTCCTGGCAACGAGAGACAAGATGGTTTCAATGAATGCTAACTGGTCAGTAGCTGGTTAATGGTCTGTAGTTGTACAGAGTGTATCACGTCCAGGGGACCCCAAACTGCTTCACATTCATTCACTCATTCACGCGCTGATGATAACAAGTTACTGGACCGTAGCCTCAGCTGCCCTGAGGCAAAATAAAACATCAGAACTGGAATTTCTATCTTTTATGAAATACAAAATGCTTCTGCTAATTTACATTTATATCCATAGTAATAACTCATCTCCAAGTGAAATCAAGAGCTGTTCATTCATCCCAGTGATAAATAGAGTCACATGTCAGCAGCTGAATCAGCTGATCTTTAACTCAACAGGTCAGACGTTTTAAGTCTGAGCCTCATGTTTCTTTACATTTGACCAAATGTTTTCGCTCAGCAGTGATGCAGGTTCAGCATCTTTTCCGTCCTCAATGTTTCCTCCAGTTTTCACATTTTACCTGTTTGAAAACTTGCTTCAGCTGTTTGGATCTTTAGTAACATTTTGTCTGGTCTTACTGTTTATGCACATCAGCTTACAGTCTTGCTATTCTAATGTTTCTGCCACTTTATTACATCTCAGCAGTTTTTCTGCTGTTGTGTTAAAATCGGTTTTTGTGGCACATTAATCTGTAACAGTGAAGCTTTTATTAGCTGAAGCTGCAGCTGGTTGATTCTTTCTGCTCTCAACAGTCAGAATCCTCCATATTGTCAGATCAGTCCAAACTGAGCTCAGCGATGTCAGCACAGCTCTGCACATTCCTTACTGTTGAACTCCAGTGATGACTGAACGTCTTGCTATTTGGGAAACTTGGAGATTGTTTTGCTTTTATTATATTTCAGAAAGTTATCAGCAGTTGACTTCAAATATTTTATTAGTTTTCAGCAAACAGACTCAGCTTACAGTATTTTTGCAGAAAATTCATTTTTTCTAGTTTTGTTTTCCTAAAGCCAGACAGACGTTTGTCTGATTGACTGAGTTGAAGAAATGAGCGTCGCCCCCTGCAGGCTGTCAGCTCCAACAGGAGTTTGTCCAGTTAATCATCTCAGTGGTTCTGGATGCTGGATCTCGGTCTGGGCTGGTTAAATCAGTCGCACTGTGACACGGTGTTCAGATCATCCTCCAGATGTAAACAGCTAAATTTGTGCAGCAGCTTCCTCCTGATCTTCTCCTTTTAAGTCCAGCAGCCTTCAGCTCTGTTTGCTCTGCACCACGTGTGCAAATAACGAGCATCTTGACTCCTGGTTGCTGCTTCCTGTTCCGATTGATCCTGATCCAACGGCGCTCCTTCATCCACCGCTGTGAAAACAGGACGGAGGCCTTCCTGTCCTCGCTCGCTTATTTTAGGGTGAAATCCTGACTTCTGTTTGTCTGAAGATTATTTTTTTACTGTTTGAAAAAACATGACAGCATCAACTGCTTCACGTCAATAATAAGACTAAAGACTGCAGCAACGTTTCTCGGTATTTTTCATGAGCAAACGTCTCGTCTCTTCACTGCAGCTCAGAGTTTCACACTCGACTCGATCAGCAGAAACAGAGCAAAGATAAGAAGCATAAAAATAAACTTCATGAATGCGTCATGCTCATACATTTGGTCTCATTCTGGTGATGAATATAAAATCCACTTTAAGATCCAAGTTGCTTTTTTTCAGCAAAAATCCAAACAGGAAGTTGTAACTAACATCCATGTAAACGAAGCTGAGACTGAAAATGAGGTCAGAAACTGATTTCTTTACATGGATTGTGGACGTTTTACAGCAGCTTCATAACCACAAACACAAATCCAGCAGAAATGTGTCGACTCCCAGACTGCTGCTGCTGAACGGGTTTGACATCATGTGGACCGGCCGGCAAGTCGGCGGCGTTCATGTAAACCAGCCTTCGCTTCACAGGCCGCGACGCTTTGAGACGTTCAGAAGGATCCAGCTTCACAAACAGATGAATTCATGCAGAGTTTCAACCTGGACGTCATTATTGAAACGAATACGTGATCACAGCCTTTTCTACATGATGAATGAACTGAGAACAAAACATTTCTGGATGAATCTCACAAGCTGCAGAACCGTCTGCAAGCTAAAAGCAGCGAATCGCTTTGTGAATGAAGAGTCGGGCACGGTGGTGGCAGAGTGATGGTCTGGGCTGCTTCTGGTGACGCTAAGCTGAAGCTCACTTTGCTTCACATACTTGTTTTAGAATTTACCATAAAAATGTAAAAAATATAAGAATGAAAAATAAATACAATTTGCAGTGATTAGAAAAATTAAATGTAAATAAATATAAAACAAAGGGTTTTGAAATAGTTAAAATAAAAAATAAGATGTAATTAATAAAAAAAGAATTTATCATTTTATGTAAATATCAGATAAATTTTGATCGGCAGCAACCTGAACGTTTCATGATCTCATGTTCTGATGGACGGGTTGACAGAAAAACCAGAACCAGAACCAGAACCTGCGTCTGAAACTGAAACTCGGGCCTGAAGGAGCTGAAGTTTGTTTTTCTGTCTGTCCTTCGCTTCATTCATTTCAGCACAGACCTGTGGTTCCATCAACTTCCCAAATCATTAATGCACATTTAGCCAGAAAGCAAAGCGCGCTCAGTTCCAGTGAAGCAGCTGAGCGTCGCCTCAACGTTTCTGTCACAATTTAAACTTTCAAATCTTTCTCATGAAAATAGCAAAACGTTGTAAACATGTCACATTCTCCCTGTCCACAGCTGTGCTGCTCTTCCAAAACCACGTGTTTGTGTTTCTGAAAAGTGTGGCCAGGTCATCCCTTCTGGAGTTTCCTGTTTCCAATGCATTGTGGGAAGACACAGCATGTGTGATTTTCCTGTGGTTTGGCCTCATGAGCCTCATGCAAACCAGAGTCATCCTCACCAGCCTTCATCATGCGTTTTATCCAGATGAGCCTGACTGCTGTCAGGCGCTCAGGTAACTGCCAGGCAGCTCCTGCCCCTTCTGTTCTGCCCCCTGGTGGACATGTGGGGCTAACTGCGCCTGAACGCCGCTCGGCTCTGGCTGCAGAGAAACGGTGACTCGAAAAGCGTCGCTGTGCTTGAAAGGCCAGAAAAGGAGAAGTGATCAGGTTTCCTGGAAACCAACAGGAAAACTCTGACTGTGTAATTATAGCTTCAAGTTCCACTGACGAAAAACTGAAACCGCAGCTTAGCATCACAGAGCAGCTCATCGTTCTCATGGTGTGAAAAACAAACCCACCAGGACCACGACTGGTCAGGACTCACATCAGGATGCAGAGAAGGCTTTCATTCATTCATTCATTCATTCATTCATTCATTCATTCATTCGTTCATTCATTCATTCATTCATTTAATCTGGTCACATTTAAGAGAAAAGTCACATTTGGAGCTGTCTCTGGAATCAGCCTGACGATGTGATAAAACATGAATGCATGAAAAAACATTCAGCAGCAGATGAATCAGAGAAACACAGAAAGTCCTGAACTTTTCTACACATTCAGTCTGATGAAATATTCCAACCTGCTCTCTGAATCCGCATTAATTCAGCTTCCAGGTTTGATCTGATCTCTGCTGCGTCAGTTTTTCACCCATCCGGGTCGCTGGACCCACCGGCGGAGACGACGCGAGTCGAGGCGTTAAAGTGTCAGACGTGTGCTGTGATGTTCTGCATGTGAGCGCTCACCTGCAGCAGAGCCAGCCGTGCAGATGTTCCTGTTCCTGCAGTCTGAGCTCCTCCTGCTCAACTCAGTCATATGAGGGCAGATGAGCTGCGCTGGAGAGAAACTTCCTCTGTTGCTGTGTGACGTTGCATCCTCTGCTCATCCTCACGCCTTCTCACCACTAAACTCTGCTTCCCACATTACTGCTGCAGCCATGAATTCACACCTGAAGGGCAGTTCAGACCAAACGGAGGCTTTGGGCCGTCGGAGGAAGAGCGAACGAGGAGATCAGGAGTTTCTCAGTTGAATTCATGTTTAAAACATGAGGAGGAACCAAATGTGTCACTCTGGGTTCGGCTTAAATCCAACAGCAATCAGACATGAAACAGAAAACCGAGTAAGACGACGTGTGACGATCTGCTGCACTGACTGATCCTCTTCAGCATCAGGCTGTTGTGCAATTCACTGAATTTAGGCCAATATTTTAAATTAAATTATATTTTAGGACAGAAGGAGGAAGCTGCAGATTCACCAGTCTGCTGCCCTTCAGCCTACAGGAAGAATGGCAGCGTTTACTGGGAGAACTGGGAGAACTGGCAGACCCAGCCTGCTCTGCTGGGTCTGCCAGGTCTGTTCGTCCATCTGCTGGAGCAGCAGGATCCACCCACTAATCAGTGGAGAAGATTCCCATGAGGTCGACCCAACAGAACCACTCCAGGACCTCATCATGAGCTCCAGAAGAACCACAACCAAAGTGGGGGTCAGAGGTCATTCATGCGTCCGAAGTGGATCTGATGGGAGGTGTAAGACCCGGAGCAGAACCACCAGTGCAGCACGGTGGTGGTGGAGTGGTGATCTGGGCTGGAACTGCAGGACATCCTGAACTTTTCTGGGTTGTGCTGCAGAACGATGATCCAAAGAACAGCAGCAGATTCACATCGATGCCCCAAAAAGCCCAAAACACAAAGGAGCCGTTGGAGCGGCCTAGTCAAAGTCTGAAAATAAAGCTGGGGCTTGACATCAAAGCTGGAAAAACCTGTGAAGTTTCTGAGTTGGTCCTGAAAGAACAGCTTGGTGTGAAAACATTTCACATAAAACTCATGGATAGAATGAAGTCAGGAGTTTGTTCTCCTCTTATGTTCATTCAGGATATCTTTATCTGATTTTGATATTTGATGATCAGAAACACTGAAATGGGAGTAAAGCACCGTTAGAAACGGGTCAGAACGTGTCTAAGAACAGATTCAATCAAACTTCCCTCAATTCAAGCCAAACCAGCAACAAACTAGGGTTTGATCGGGTTCCTAAATGGACTTCCTGTCTGTACTGATGAAGTGGGGGCTTGTCCGGGATCGGCAGCTCCTTCTGACCTGCTTCCCACACATCCAGTTGTTCATTTATTTATCTTAATCAGGTCTAAAAACTGCACATGTTACTTCATTGTCTTTATTTTGTCAAAGACTAGATGACACAGTTTTCTCTAATAAAAACTTCATTAGTTCTCTAATTAACTAATGAAGAGAAAATCTGAATGTTGTGAAGGTTGTGAAGGTTGTAAATAACCTGAACGACCTGAATGACCTGAAGCTGTGAAGGTTTTCCTAAAGTGAATAGGAAGTATTGTTTGCTCGTCTCTAAGCAGATAACAGGACTAGATTCAGATTCTGATTTCTGCTCTTTCGTTTCCTCTTTCACCCTTTAAACACCAAAATATCTACCGTCTCATTTCCATAAGCTCAGGTTAAATTACATAAGTGTTCACTAAAGAAAACATTTTAAATATTAGGATCAATATACAACAAAGCAAACCATAGAAGGACATTATTGTTTCATTTTGTTCTCAAGGTAATTTCTTTATTCATTTGGTATTTTTAGCTTAATTACATTTAGTTTGTTGATCTACTGAATGATGCATTTTATTCTGTTTTTAAATCTAACTTTCCTTCGTTTCCTCGTTGTTGGTGACTGGATGCGTCTCATGGTGCCGCCTGACTTGCTGCTGTTTGTTTGGTGGTTTGGTTTGGGCACAGCGGGAAAAACCCGACGTGTTTCTATCCAGCTGAAATACCAGAGTTAGGAACAACAAAGACAATAAACCACAACGAGAGACGGGAGAGTCCAGTCTGGTTCATAGATGCTTGTTGATGTGATAAAGGAAGATGACGTTAAAATTACCAATCAAATAATTCAACATTACTACAACTGGAGAAAAAAACAACTAATACAGTAATAACGATGTTAGCTATTAGAAATGGAGGCTGTCTGCCTCCGAGCAGGCCAGCAAAGGTCAGAGGGCGCATCACAGTGAACCCAGAACAGAACCGAACCGGAGGTCCAATCAGCCCAGGTCATTGAAAACCTTTTGATACTCTGAGCTTCCTTGTCTCTTGTCATGGAAGACCTGGAGAAACGTGACGCTCTCTGGGAATCTGCTCTTGTTTTGATTCATTCACTTATTGTTGTGTTTTCTTTCATGATGTTATTGAAAAAAAAGAAAGTCCTGTGAATGTGTGTTTGTGTGTGTTTGTGTGTGTTTGTGTGTGTTTGTGTGTGTTTATGTGTGTTTAT